CATATCATATGATAAAGACCTAATTGTGAACTTTGCTTCATGAATTTGTTTTCCTTCTTTTGTAGAACTTGTTATTTACTTGATCATTAATGATAAAATTTTATTAATATAGGCCAATAAAATCCAGAGCTTTTTACATGTAGCTGAGACAGAACATTCAAGACAGTTTGATAGCAGCAGCAAAGAAGACAGGAAAAAAGAAACACTGCAAAGTCAAAGTAAGACCATGAGTCTTTCTGTTTCTCCTGTGGACATCAATGCAAGCATTATTTTGCTAAGACAGAGTTTCCATGGAAAAACACTCGTCTTCCCTGACAATGTCATGTCCTCCATCATAGAAGACTTGATAGGCCCTAGCATTTTACTGATGGGACCTGTATCTAAAGCACAAGCATTGAAAAAAGACGATATGGACCAAGTACCCTGCATCCAAAAAAGTACATCTATGGCCTCTATATATCAAAATATGAAGAAAGGGGGCCTAGAAACGAGAAAATTTCCATGCATTCAAAAACGTTCCTATTTGACAATGGAACAAGATAAGATTGAACTCACTTTGCGGAAAACTGAGGTAAACAGTTAATGACACACATAATTTTTCTTCGGGTGATAACCATACCTTTCTGAAGTTCATTTTACCAGCTATTTGTGATATTTGCATCTTTAATAATAAGTGGTACTGTGCATTTCTCAGAGTCATAAGTACATTAAGTCTTAGGCTCTATTCCCATAGATTTTAGATCGATCTATCCCCGCGGGGAGTCTCACTAGATTATTTTCAGATAATCCGACTTAAATGTCCGTCCCGCCTACTACAAGTTGTAAGGGGTAATTAACTTTCGTGTCAGCCCTTCTGACAGCTATTTAGCGTGAACCCCCAGGGAGTTAGGTCGATCTAAAGTAGGAAATGGGGTGTTATAAGAAATTTTTGTGAATATTTTTCATATCATATGATAAAGACCTAATTGGGAACTTTGCTTCATGAATTTGTTTTCATTCTTTTGTAGAACTTGTTATTTACTTGATCATTAATGATAAAATCTTATTAATATAGGCCAAGAAAATCCAGAGCTTATTACATGTAGCTGAGACAGAACATTCAAGAGAGTTTGATAGCAGTACGAAAGAAGATGGGAAAAAAGAAACACTGCAAAGTCAAAGTGAGACCATGAGTCTTTCTTTTTCTCCTGTGGACATCGATTCAAACATTAATTTGTTAAGACAGAGTTTCCATGGAAAAACACTCGTCTTCCCTGACAATGTCGTATCCTCCATCATAGAAGACTTGATAGACCCTAGCATTTTACAAGCATTGAAAAAAGACGATATGAAGCAAGTACCCTGCATCCAAAAAACTACAACTATGGCCTCTGAACAATTAAGGATCGAACCCACTTTGCCGGAAACCGAGGTTAGTAATTTAGGAAATGTCAAATGTCTTTCATTTTTATCAGCTTTGATATAGTTGGATGCCCTGTTATAAGGGATGAATTGGATTTCATGGGTTAGAATACATATACTGATGAAATTAACATTCTTAATGTTTGTCATGAAATCAGCTGCTGAAGACGCACGCTATAATTTACTTAAAGCTTTTCATCTTTATAAACATGTTGCAAACTTGATCAGAAATGGGCCAAAATCATTTATTAAGTCGTTATGAATTTTTGTTCATTAGAAACCTTGCTTTTAAAATTAGCTTTTTGTATATTTGATCACTAATATGCTATAATCAATCATTGCTTAAGGCAAAAAATACCAAAAGCCCAATGGAAATACCTGAAACCAAACAGTTAAGGGAATCAAGCATCGCCAAAGCCAGCGATATCACAGCTGACAAAGAAAAACAGGTCAAAAGATACACGGATGATGGAAAAGAGGAAGTGGATAGTGTGAATCAAAATATGAAGAATGTGGGACAAGAAACAAGTAAAATTCCATGCATCCAAAAACGTTCCTCTTTGACAATTGAAGAAGATAAGATTGAACCCGCTTTGCCGAAAACTGAGGTAAACAATAAATGACACACACACTTTTTCTTCAGGTTATAACCAAACGTTTCTGAAGTTCATTTTACCAGCTTTTTGTGATATTTGCATCTTTAATAAAAAGTGGTACTGTGCATTTCTCAGAGTCATAAGTACATTAAGTCTTACATGTATAAGAAATTTTTGTCAATATTTTTACATATCATATGATAAAGACCTAATTGTGAACTTTGCTTCATGAATTTATCATTCTTTTGTAGAACTTGTTATTTACTTGATCATTAATGATAAAATCTTATAAATATAGGCCAAGAAAATCCAGAGCATTTTACATGTAGCTGAGACAGAAGATTCTGGAGAGTTTGTTGGCAGCACGAAAGAAGACAGGAAAAAAGAAACACTGCAAAGTCAAAGTGAGACCATGAGTCTTTCTGTTTCTCCTGTGGACATTGATTCAAACATTAATTTGTTAAGACAAAGTTTCCATGGAAAAAAACTCGTCTTCCCTGATAATGTTGTATCCTCCATCATAGAAGACTTGATAGACCCTAGCATTTTATTGATGGGACCTTTATCTAAAGCACATGCATTGAAAAAAGACGATATGGAGCAAGTACCCTGCATCCAAAAAACTACATCTATGGCCTCTGAAAAATTAAGGATTGAACCCACTTTGCCGGAAACTGAGGTTAGTAATTTAGGAAATGTCAAATGTCTTTCATTTTTAACAGCTTTGATATAGTTGGATGCCCTGTTATAAGGGATGAATTGGATTTCATGGGTTAGAATACATATACTGATGAAATTAACATAATTCTTAATGTTTCTTATGAAATTAGCTGCTGAAGACGCACGCTATAATTTACTTAAAGCTTTTCATTTTTATAAATATGTTGCAAACTTGATCAGAAATGGGCCAAAATCATTTATTGAGTCGTTATGAATTTTTGGTCATTAGAAACCATGCTTTTAAAAAGAGGTTTTTGTATATTTGATCACTCATATGCCATTATCAATCATTGCTTAAGGCAAAAAATACCAAAAGCCTAATGGAAATACCTGAAACCAAACAGTTATGGGAATCAAGCATCGCCAAAGCCAGCGATATCACAGCTGACAAAGAAAAACAGGTCAAAAGATACACGGATGATGGAAAAGAGGAAGTGGATAGTGTGAATCAAAATATGAAGAAGGTGGGACAAGAAACAAGTAAAATTCCATGCATCCAAAAACGTTCCTCTTTGACAATGGAACAAGATAAGATTGAACCCGCTTTGCCGAAAACTGAGGTAAACAATTACTGACGCACTTTTTCTTCAGGTTATAACCAAACGTTTCTGAAGTTCATTTTACCAGCTATTTGTGATATTTGTATCTTTAATAATAAGTGGTACTATGCGTTTCTCAGAGTCATAAGTACATTAAGTCTTACATGTATAAGAAATTTTTGCCAATATTTTTTCATATCATATGATAAAGACCAAATTGTGAACTTTGCTTTGTAAATTTGTTTTCATTTTTTTGTAGAACTTGTTATTTACTTGATCATTAATGATAAAATCTTATAAATATAGGCCAAGAAAATCCAGAGCATTTTACATGTAGCTGAGACAGAACATTCTGGAGAGTTTGTTGGCAGCACGAAAGAAGACAGGAAAAAAGAAACACTGCAAAGTCAAAGTGAGACCATGAGTCTTTCTGTTTTTCCTGTGGACATCGATTCAAACATTAATTTGTTAAGACAGAGTTTCCACGGAAAAACACTCGTCTTCCCTGACAATGTGGTATCCTCCATCATAGAAGACTTGATAGACCCTAGCATTTTATTGATGGGACCTTTATCTAAAGCACATGCATTGAAAAAAGACGATATGGAGCAAGTACCCTGCATCCAAAAAACTACATCTGTGGCCTCTGAACAATTAAGGATCGAACCCACTTTGCCGGAAACTGAGGTTAGTAATTTAGGAAATGTCAAATGTCTTTCATTTTTAACAGCTTTGATGTAGTTGGATGCCCTGTTTTAAGGGATGAATTGGATTTCATGGGTTAGAATACATGTACTGATGAAATTAACATTCTTAATGTTTCTCATGAAATCAGCTGCTGAAGACGCACGCTATAATTTACTTAAAGCTTTTCATCTTTATAAACATGTTGCAAACTTGATCAGAAATGGGCCAAAATCATTTATTAAGTCATTATGAATTTTTGTTCATTAGAAACCTTGCTTTTAAAATTAGCTTTTTGTATATTTGATCACTAATATGCCATTATCAATCATTGCTTAAGGCAAAAAATACCAAAAGTCTAATGGAAATTGCTGAAACCAAACAGTTAAGGGAATCAAGCATCGCCAAAGCCAGCGATATCACGACTGACAAAGAAAAACAGGTCAAAAGATACACGGATGATGGAAAAGAGGAAGTGGATAGTGTGAATCAAAATATGAAGAAGGTGGGACAAGAAACAAGTAAAATTCCATGCATCCAAAAACGTTCCTCTTTGACAATGGAACAAGATAAGATTGAACCCGCTTTGCCAAAAACTGAGGTAAACAATTACTGACGCACTTTTTCTTCGGGTTATAACCAAACGTTTCTGAAGTTCATTTTACCAGCTATTTGTGATATTTGTATCTTTAATAATAAGTGGTACTATGCATTTCTCACAGTCATAAGTACATTAAGTCTTACATGTATAAGAAATTTTTGCCAATATTTTTTCATATCATATGATAAAGACCAAATTGTGAACTTTGCTTTGTAAATTTGTTTTCATTTTTTTGTAGAACTTGTTATTTGCTTGATCATTAATGATAAAATCTTATAAATATAGGCCAAGAAAATCCAGAGCATTTTACATGTAGCTGAGACAGAACATTCTGGAGAGTTTGTTGGCAGCACGAAAGAAGACAGGAAAAAAGAAACACTGCAAAGTCAAAGTGAGACCATGAGTCTTTCTGTTTCTCCTGTGGACATCGATTCAAACATTAATTTGTTAAGACAGAGTTTCCACGGAAAAACACTCGTCTTCCCTGACAATGTGGTATCCTCCATCATAGAAGACTTGATAGACCCTAGCATTTTATTGATGGGACCTATATCTAAGGCAGAAACATTGGAAGGGACAAAAGAGCTTAATGCCAGGAAGCACGAAGTTCCGGTGGTTGAAACTCTCAACAGAGAAAGACAGATTAAAACCAGTCCCCTGGAAAACGAGGTAAAAACCCTACAGGTATGATTTCAAATGAAAGGCAATAAGTTTGTAAATTACATACTTGGCAGTTCAAGGCTTTTTAATTTTTTTGACTCGAAAGCCATCATTTTCTTAAATAGATTTTAAGCATGGCCATTTTAAATTTATTGGATGAGGTGTCCAAAACTCAGGTGAAGACAAGACACATGGGGTTAGTGATGTGGTGTCATTGCCACCGTACTTACGTATGCCATCTGGATGAAAAAAATGAATTCTTGTAACTTAAAATATTTGGAAAATGTTTATTAAAGAGACTGACATTTTTATTACAGGGAGAAATATCCAAGCCCCCCAATCTTCTAGCAGAAAAAGAAGTTACAGCTGTGACTGACTCAGTAGAACAGAGGTCCTACCATCCGTCACTTCCAACTGCAGTGAGCAATCCCGAATACAATGCGAATGACTACGTCAATCAAAATGCGAAGAAAGGGGATCTGGGCCAAGGACCCTGCATCCAAAGTTCCAAACAATTAAAGATTGAACCCATTTTGCTGGAAACTGAGGTAAGCCTGTACACATGATGACTAAATTAAACCAATGTCAATCATTAAAGCGTTATGATTTAATTTTCTTCATTAAAACTTTTCATTTTTATAAATAACTTGTTGCATGCTTGATCAGGCCATTATAATTTTATCAAGCCATTATCAAGCCATTATTATTTATTAAGGCAAAGACCACTAAAAGCTTTATGGAAATTCCGGAAACCAAACACTTAAGAGAACCAGGCATCCTCAAAGCCAGCGTTGTTACTGTTGACAAGGAAAAACAGGTCAAAAGAAGCACAGATGATGGAAAAGAGGAAGTGGATAGTGTCAGTCAACATATGAAGAAAGAGGGACAAGTAACGAGTAGAATTCTGTGCATCCAAAAACGTTACTCTTTGACAGTGGAACAAATTAAGTTTGAAGCCACTTTGCTGGAACCTGAGGTAAACAATTATTGACACACACACTTCATCTTCGGGTTATAACCAAACGTTCCTGATGCTCATTTCTTAACCAGCTTTTTTATATTACTACTTCTATTATTAATGGCACAATATACTTTCTTTCTTTCTAAATAAGTTTTCACGAGATTTTCTCTTTAAATCTTATTATGAAGACCAAATAATGTTCTTTGGTTTATCAATATTTTGGTTTTTACTTTTTTTTTTACCTGCGTCTAATATTCCCCTTTTGAAGTTCGAGAATTGACTAGCTGAATCGTAGTTATAAACCGCACCAAATGGCAACGTTTGTCTTTCAAAGTATCAAAAATGTTCGTCCCCCCCCTTCAAATAATCATTGGTCAGCCCCTGATGTGGGTGTTATGTATCCCTCAGGTTAAGCAGAGAACAACTGACTAATAATGTTTGGAATATGTATATTTAATTTAGTGACGTTCTTATTACAGGTGGATAAATGTAAGCCACTAAAATTACGATCAGATAAAGCAGTTGTAAGCAAAGCCAGCTTATTAAAAGAAAGAGAAGAATCACAGAGAAATGATGTGGTGCAAAACCAGAGTGCTAAAAAGCCATATATTCCAGTGCTTAAACACATCAACAGGGAAAAGACTAAACCTTTTACAAAGGGGGTAAAGGAACAGGTACGACATTAAAGGAATATCATAGTTCTCAGTTTGTTCATGAACTTTTTGATTTATTGGCCCTTATTTCGTTATCATGATTTTAAACATAGCTTCTATTGATTTTTGTAATTTTAATTAAAACATATATAAATGTAATTTATTAAAATATACCACCATTCTTGTTATAGGCAGAGGAATATTCTAACCTGGTGTCAGAAAAACAAGCTATGACCAAACGTAAAGCACAAACAGCAGAATGCATGATGAAGCAAACAGCTGATAGCAAGCAAGGGGTTCTGGCGGTCGAAATTTCTCCAAAAGAAAATGGGCATAAAAACGCTACTGGTGCACGACCAAAAAGGAGAGCCCAGACTCCCTCTATCTGGCACTCAGACATCAAGCAAAGTGTAAATAATTTGGCCACAAAGCAAACCGAGATCGAACCCTCTTTGCTGGGTACTGATGCTAATTCAGAGATCGATTTTAGACATGTGGACCCAAATCGAAAGGCGGAGAAAAAGAAAGCAACAAGGGGGCACCAACTTGCAGAAGCATGTAATAACGGAGGGGCAAAAATGACCAAAACCGAGGAAACTTTAACGAAGGATAAAAAGGGTGCTCAGATGCAGAGGGAATCAACGGAAGTTGACAAAGCATGCCCCTCTTTCACTATACGCGAACGGTGTTTGGAGGACTTCAGCACATGGTACAGCGATTTGTATCTTACAGGGGGGCATTTAGAGCAAATCCATATGAAAAAATTTATCGAGTACCAGGAAATGAAATCTCGACGTGATAAACTCTTATGTGTATTTCACAACAGCCTGAGACATTTGAAAACCATCGCCCGGTTGGCTGAAATTAGAGTTGGGAATAAACACAGTAATGAAACATGTTTGAAGACTGCTAAAACAGTTAGAGAAAAATGGAAGAGAGCAGCTTTTCGAGCGCGACATGCCGCTTTGCGAGAACTTGCTTTAATATGGGACAAAGCAGATTTTACCGAAACTTCAATTAGTCGCGCTCCCTCTATTTCGTCGGCAACTTGCTCGTCTACTGACCAAGAAGAGCAAAGTTTGGACAGGCGGAAGTCCAACGCCTCGGACATAGACAAAAAACGGTATATAAGTCGACAGCAGGACGCTGCTCTTCGTGATTCCGAGGAATACAACAGACGGGCATATTTCCACAGTAATATGAAGCTCTTTAAGTTTGTCAACTTCTTCCAAAGACAGTATATTTTAGAACATAATTTCAACGAGGCTGACTTTGATTATTCGGACTGGGATATAATCAACAAATGTCAACAGGCACACGAAAGGAAGATAAGATGTTCAAAAATTGAAAGCGGCGTTTCTCCCGAAATGGAGCGTAAACGCCATACTCCCTGTCAGGAAAAGAAGGCGCCCATTTTGCAAAAAGACGCAACCCCTGCACAGGCAAATACGGATTTAATTCACAAACAAACATCTGTTGAAACAACACTGTTGCCTTCAAGTAAGAGTGAAGATTCTAATGGAAATGAAGCAACCGGACAAAAAATTAATACAATAAAGAAAAAGAAGGGAAGAAAGAATGCTGTTGTTCTTTTGAGCACACGCGCTCTTCAGCGTTATAATTTGTGAACTACCGATTTCATCCAAAATACTTAAATCTTCTCGTTATAAACTACATATTACATTGTGTGTGTGTTTTATTTAAAAAAAAAAGAAACAGAAAGACTTCACCACTGTATAACAGGACGAGTTTTAATTTTTTTCACTTAACACATTAACGGGAATGAAAATTTTGTGACAGTTATACCGTTCTCTGTATCTTCATCTTGTTACATTGTTATATTTCCACTGAGAGTTTTCAATCTATTAATTATTATATTTAACTACATGTATTTAACCTTACAGAATATTCATGGGTATGAAATATCTTATTTTTGTAAAATATCATCCACTTTAATTTATTGGAAAAATTGTGATTTGTTACTCGTTTTAAAATGTTGAAATTTTAAAATTATGAAATAAAATTTAAAGTGAATTCTACCTAGTTGTTTTGATTCCGCGCTTTAAAATATACAGTAAAATTAACAGAAATAGTGTAATCAGCTTATACATATAATACACTAGAAATTGATTTCTGTCATAAAATAAACGTACTAGTTGGGAGTAGGTTTGAAATTAATGTATCACTGATATCAAATTAGCTTTATTTGCGCGTCCTACATGGATAAATTTTACATGATAGGTCTTTTAAAGTTTTCACAAATATTCAGTTTATCGTTTAACATATAACTCGACGACTTCATGTGCGAAACAACCATAATTCATACTCTTTTTGTTGTTGTTGTTGTTGTTGCAAAATGTATTGTAATGTGCCAAATTTGCATATTTTTGAAATACAACAGTCCCGTGTTAAACTAAATTATGATGAGACTTTATGTGAGAAATGAATATATTTTTCGTCACAAACATGGTCAATTACACCTATGTGCCATATTAAAAGAAGTATGACAGCCAAAATACACACAAGAAATTTTGATGCAGTCGTAAAGAAAAGTAGACTACAATGCATGTTTCATGTACGGCCATAGAATAATAACTTCTTAGCTTTTAAATCAAACATTTCATTGAAAGTAGTATTGTTAGTATATTTGCCGATTTAAGGGATTTAAATAGCCTTAGAATTCATGTTATTGCAGATGACACGTACACAACTGAGCTAAAATGTCCTTTTCTTTGCACCTTTTGCCGTCTTTAGTGCCCTCTTTCATTGTCACGGCCTATTGGTTTTATAGGACGACCAAGCTGTTATAGCCGTCATACATTTACCTATCATAATGTAAAATTTTACCAAGTATAGATTGGCGAGGAAATAAAGCTACTTTTTACTCATCTTTTCAAGATCAGCGTTAAGTCTGAAAATCTTGTCAGTAAAATGTTTCCTTGCTTTAACCATGGACAAAATTACGTTATTTTGTCCAAGCTTTAACCGAGTTAACAAGTGTATTACAATAGAAGTATATATATTGATGCACCTTGAAAGATCTACATTATTGTTGTTAAATACAATCCGAGCTTTCGGCCCCCGGGCCTTCTTCGGGGATAATTCGAACAAGTGTATTACAAAACTATTGTGATAAGCTACTAAGGCCGTTTTCAATTATTACGGATTTTACCGCCATTTTCTTTACGTATATATTTACTATATCTTTCCTATCTGTTCAGTTGCAAAACACCCAAAAGGGAGGTTTTTGAAGCTCAAATTTTACAAGATTACTTATTATTATTATTATTATTATTATTATTATTTGACGCAGTGCCAGATGTTACTTCTACAGTTGGTGCGCATAGTTGGAAGTCTGGAATCTGGGCGAAAGCCTTAAGATTTCCGAATTAAAATTGGATAGTGTGACATATTCCTATTTCCGATCAACACCATGGGCGTAATGGAACAACGATATATGCGCATATCAAACATTTGACACATTTTTTAAAAAAACTAGACGCCTTTAGTAAATAATGGCGTAAACAATCACAGAAATATTGATACTTACAAGACATAATTCCCTCTAAGGCCCATAAAAGTTCAATATTGCAGGGGTAATCATAGAGATTGGGACTCCTCCATCCACATTCTTGCGTCTTCTCAATATGGTGACTTTCATGGAAGACAGCTCACACTGGGATGATCGACTCATTGTTATGTAAATATCAACAGGTATGGCTCATTACAAGTGAAAACTTGTGGCTGCTTACTTTACTCAAGAAGTTATAATGAGAAGGAGTAGAAACGGGACATCAATTATCTCTCTCGTCCAATCAGATCGCAGCATTCTTTTCAAAGCGGCGTCCTTTGAAATTCGATCCTCGTAACTGGTCTAATCCTCCGCTCGCCTCCGCGTGACTCAAGACGGAGAAGCTGAACCAGTGCGTATACGTCTTGATTTATTCATGTTTAATGCGAATATTTGGAAGTTATACTTAGAAAAACGCCAAGTCGATCGATATAAAGGTGAGTGAGAGTTGATAATCTGCTTTGAGCATTGTATTATGTTCATACGGTGGCTGTCAGTCAAATTTGTCAGTGCAGATTGCAGCGTTAGCTCGAAGATCTGAGGCCGATTCAGCGGGACCTCCATGTTTAGAACTTTTTTCTTCTTAAGTGCGTGATGTATGCACATAATTTATGTTTTTTTTGGTTAGTTAAGCACGTGCATCATTACAACACATCACTTTGGTATTAAATGAATCAATCCTTTAGATGAAAAACATCGTTTCAAATAGACAACTTTTCATGGGACTTTTTCAAAATGGCGGGTCCCTAAATTGGTAAGGGACAGTTGGGTGACAGTTTGGGACAANGCCAACAGGCACACGAAAGGAAGATAAGATGTTCAAAAATTGAAAGCGGCGTTTCTCCCGAAATGGAGCGTAAACGCCATACTCCCTGTCAGGAAAAGAAGGCGCCCATTTTGCAAAAAGACGCAACCCCTGCACAGGCAAATACGGATTTAATTCACAAACAAACATCTGTTGAAACAACACTGTTGCCTTCAAGTAAGAGTGAAGATTCTAATGGAAATGAAGCAACCGGACAAAAAATTAATACAATAAAGAAAAAGAAGGGAAGAAAGAATGCTGTTGTTCTTTTGAGCACACGCGCTCTTCAGCGTTATAATTTGTGAACTACCGATTTCATCCAGAATACTTAAATCTTCTCGTTATTAACTACATATTACATTGTGTGTGTGTGTGTGTGTGTTTTATTTTAAAAAAAAGAGACAGAAAGACTTTTCACCACTGTATAACAGGACGAGTTTTAATTTTTTCACTTAACACATTAACGGGAATGAAAATTTTGTGACAGTTATACCGTTCTCTGTATATTCATCCTGTTACATTGTTATATTTCCACTGAGAGTTTTCAATCTATTAATTATTATATTTAACTACATGTATTTAACCTTACAGAATATTCATGGGTATGAAATATCTTATTTTTGTAAAATATCATCCACTTTAATTTATTGGAAAAATTGTGATTTGTTATTCGTTTTAAAATGTTGAAATTTTAAAATTATGAAATAAAATTTCAAGTGAATTCTACCTAGATGTTTTGATTCCGCGCTTTAAAATATACAGTAAAATTAACAGAAATAGTGTAATCAGCTTATATATATATATATATATATATATATATATATATATATATATATATATATATATTATACACTAGAAATTGATTTCTGTCATAAAATAAACGTACTAGTTGGGAGTAAGTTTGAAATTGATGTATAATTGATATCAAATTAGCTTTATTTGCGCGTCCCACATGGATAAATTTTACATGATAGGTCTTTAAAAGTTTTCACAAATATTCAGTTTATTGTTTAACATATAACTCGACGACTTCATGTGCGAAACAACCATATTTCATACTCTTTTTTTTTTTTGTCGTTGTTGCAAAATGTATTCTAATGTGCCAAATTTGCATATTTTTGAAATACAACAGTCCCGTGTTAAACAAAATTATGATGAGACTTTATGTGAGAAATGAATATATTTTTCGTCATAAACATGGTCAATTACACCTATGTGCCATATTAAAAGAAGTATGACAGCCAAAATACACACAAGAAATTTTGATGCAGTCGTAAAGAAAAGTAGACTACAATGCATGCTTCATGTACGGCCACAGAATAATAACTTCTTAGCTTTAGAATCAAACATTTCAATGAAAGTAGTATTGTTAGTATATATGCCGATTTAAGGGATTTAAATAGCCTTAGAATTCATGTTATTGCCGATGACACGTAGACAACTGAGCTAAAATGTCCATTTCTTTGCACCTTTTGCCGTCTTTAGTGCCCTCTTTCATTGTCACGGCCTATTGGTTTATAGGACGACCAAGCTGTTATAGCCGTCATACATTTACCTACAGGTATCATAATGTAAAATTTAACCAAGTATAGATTGGCGAGGAAATAAAGCTACTTTTTACTCCTCTTTTCAAGATCAGCGTTAAGTCTGAAAATCTTGTCAGTAAAATGTTTCCTTAATTTAACCATGGACAAAATTACGTTATTTTGTCCAAGCTTTAACCGAGTTAACAAGTGTATTACAATAGAAGTATATATATTGATGCACCTTGAAAGATCTACATTATTGTTGTTAAATACAATCCGAGCTTTCGGTCCCTGGGCCTTCTTCGGGGATAATCCGAACAAGTGTATTACAAAACTATAGTGATAAGCTACTAAGGCCGTTTTCAATTATTACGGATTTTACCGCCATTTTCTTTACTATATCTTTCCTATCTGTTCAGTTGCAAAACACCCAAAAGGGAGGTTTTTGAAGCTCAAAATTTACAAATTTACTTATTATTATTATTATTATTATTTGACGCAGTGCCAGATGTTACTTCTACAGTTGGTGCGCATAGTTGGAAGTCTGGAACCTGGTCGAAAGCCTTAAGATTTCCGAATTAAAATTGGATAGTGTGACATATTCCTATTTCCGATCAACATCATGGGCGTAATGGAACAACGATATATGCGCTTATCAAACATTTGGCACATTTTTTTAAAAAAACTAGACGCCTTTAGTAAATAGTGGCGTAAACAGTCACAGAAATATTGATACTTACAAGACATAATTCCCTCTAAGGCCCATAAAAGTTCAATATTGCAGGGGTAATCCTTGAGATTGGGACTGCGCCATCCACATTCTTGCGTCTTCTCAATATGGTGACTTTCATGGAGGACAGCTCACATCGGGATGACCGACTCATTGTTATGTAAATATCAACAGGTATGGCTCATTACAAGTGAAAACTTGTGCTCGCTTACTTTACTCGCGAGAAAAGTGAAAGTCGCTGGTTTGATAGAATATTTTTTATTGAACAGATTAAAGGATTTCTCTGTTTTGATTGTTACATTTGATGTGCTCAAACGCTACTGAACACATGAATATTACATGTTGCCGATCGCGAATACGCTGCGACCCAGCCCAAACTATACACTGCGTCTTGTCGTGCTGTTATTGGTTTTGACAAACAATTCAGTTTGTTCATGTGTCCATTACATTATAATGATAATGATTTTAAATTTAAACATATTAACAACGATGAGCTTTAAAAGTAATTATTGAAAAAAAAATGCATTCCGGTTGTACAGCTCTTGGCAGAATTGGCGACATGGGTCTTTAAGGCCGTCGCTGGTAACAATTATACATACCAGTACGCCAAAACAATATTACTCAAGATTCCAGCACCTTCGTAATAATTTGGCCGATGCATAATTTTATCAGTGATTGAAATGCATTGTAATAGTTTTTAAAATTGAGTCGGGCTCTGGAGAACAATGAAGGCGGAGAAGCAAAATGTTTATAAGCAATTTGAAAAAAGATGATAACAAATGACACTTTCCAGGGTGAGAAATTATGCCTTTTTGAACCTTATTGTGATGTCTGCTGCCCATTCTGGTACCTTATGTATTTTCATTGGTAATGACAATTTGTTATGCAAAAGGTGTAACAAGAGGTTGTCAAGCTATTTTTGTTGGCGGACTTTGACGGTGTGAAGTGATACAAAATTGTTTAAAATCATTTATGAAATACATCATAGTAAATGTGAACTTCAATGCACTAGAATGCAATTGTGAAGTGCTCGTTGTATACAACGTACATTAAACCGTGTCTTGAGTTCATATTCGAATGGCTTTACTCATGTTTAAAATAATAAAACCAGGAATGGTTTTTCACAATATTTAGGTTTTTCACAGTATTTTCTTTCTGTTGCAAAACTTAAATTTGCAGAGCATAATGGATTTTTGCCACATTGTTTTTTTCTGCCAGCATTCCATGTCTTAACTGTTCAATGCAATGAACAAAACTTGCCGCCATTTCTTTTCAGAGGTATTCCTTTTAACAAAATCTGGTCGTTTTTTTAGGTGACTGTTATAATTGTATTCCCTAAAACAGATGTACTCTGACACCTGGATGTAGAAACAAAAGTGATTGTTTTGAAATTCTCCATTTTAAAATTACAAGTACATTATTTTGTGCTTTGGAAATTATGCCTCGAAATCTGCCAATTTTGAGTTCTCCGACATACCCCTTTAACAATAATAATTCAAAATCATGGTTGCCTGCACTTATGGCAATGAGAATTTTAATGGAAAAATGTCAGTTTTGTGCAATTCTTTCATTGAAAAAATAAAGGGAAATTCATTTTTGAGCTTCCCAAGTGCACTTCACAAACATTGACTCCCAAGCTTTTGAGGTCGATTTTATTCTTATTACTGAGAGTTTATGTATACAAACAAAATCAACAACAGATACAAATGTGCATTTACTTCTGCAATTTATTTCCATTTTTCACAAGATAATAGCAACCCACAAAACAATATACACACTAAATGTACTAGGGTTGATGGACTAACAACAAGTTTATTTTTTTCAAAAAAATAAAACCCTTTTTTTTATGAAATGCCAAAGCATGTTCTGTTGAAAACCAGTAAAAATCAAGTCAGTCAATTACTTCATGATGCTCACATTTCAAAAAAATAAAATGACTGTCAGTCAAAACTGTGAGTATTCACTGCTAATCTTTATCATATACAACAGTAAAAACATGAATGAATTGAATAAGAACTGGAGACTAGTCTCATTTTTCTTGATATAAATGTTTCATCCAAAAATGATATGTATCCGCAAAAAACCCTACCCTTCATAGTGTAATCAATGACCTAGGAGCAAATATGGGCCAATCAATGACCTATATACAAAAGAAGGTCACTGGTGTAATGTTGTGTATATAGCTGCTTCCACAAGAAGCCATGTGACTAGAGAGAAAAAAAAAAAACATGTATGAAATATAAACATGAAGGCAAGAGAAAGGTGTCCAATAATAAACAATGGACATAAACATGACAACAACGGAGCTGCTCCTTGTCAGCATGTTCAGCACCCCGCGATAGATAAAAACTACTGGATGATATGTTGTGCTAAAATAGATCCTTCTCTTTTAACTATTATTTTTATTTATTTTCCTAATTATTACTATTATAAATTTTCTTGTAATTAAATTAATCATGTCTGTAACATGTCCAACATGTTTGTCCAATTAAAAACAACACACCTTGTCATTCACACTTGGCTGGACCTGGTCCAGTTTGTTTAGATGACCATTAACTGGGAACCTTGCCGGACAGAGAGAGGAACAGGTAAACTACCAAACTGAAAATTATCCATACTCCATGGAGAAATACTTTGAAAATGAAATTAATAAAAATATACTTAACATTGTATAAGAGGTAAAAATCAAAACAGGTTAAAACGAAATAATACTTTCTTCTGCTACAAAATTGCACCTATTGCTGAGATCATAAAAAAAAAAACTGTTTTCCTTTTTTTACTTATTTTACCCTTTGAATATCACTGGATCTTAAAAAATAAAATGACTAAGTTGCCCATCTTGGGACTGTGTATACTGGTGGTTCCATCTAGTGGCTGTGTGGGGTACCTTGTTCCTCTCCTGTCAGCCAGCAAACTGACATAACATTTCACTTGAAGTAAAACATGTTTCACAGCACAATGCTACCTAGAACAAACATCAACACAGAAAGAGCTGCTGTTGAGCAACTGTGTAGATCACACTTAAAACATCCAAGAAGTTACTTCCATGATTTCAGTTACACAGCACACATAAATAATACAATATTACCCAGTAACCATATCATCAACATCAACTGATTGCTGATTTACACTGATATGAAACACAAGCACAAAAAAGATCAAACTAGTAAACTCACCTATTAATATGTAAACAAATATTAAATTTTCAAGATAAAACAAATCAAAGCAAACTGGCTGCTAAAGAAAGCTTTGCCTGCTTCCTATTTACACTGCGGGGTACAACCACAATGGACACTAACATAACACAGTTTAACATCAAAGAAATAACAACAGTTAATAAGATGAGAAAAAGTGACTAAAACCAACTTAAAATGACTGCGATTTTTTTTTTCAAAAAACGCCATACAATAACAATATTTGTTACAAATATCCATGGAACGAAAAGTGTCCTGTGTTGTCTCTAAAACCTTTGCGTCCTCTTTAAGACAGGCCTGTCCTTGTAAAATAAGACTCTCAGCCTTCAGAATAATCATCAGAAGAGGGCATAAATGCCATTTACACCCTGTTGTGCTCATTTAAGACTGGGCACGGCAGAGGTGTCTTGTTAAACTGATTAGTGACAGTACCTGGCTAAGTTACCCTTTGCTCCGCAAGGCAGTCTTGGCAGTAAGGAGTGACAGCAGCAGCTGTAGCGTTAATTTAGATGTTGGCCCACACGGAGCACGCGTACGTGACGGACTGACAGGAAAAGTGTGAGAAGGGACATGAAGACGCCACGCTGACACGGGATACAGACGTCACGCCACGTGTAATCTAAAGGAAAGAAGATAAGCACAGGGTTAATTTATGGCATTGGTAGACATTGTGTTAGATGTGGAAATGTTGGGTGACATTGTGTCAGGTTTAACAGTGTGTTATCAGACCTGTTTCACACAAAAATATCTCATTTTGGAAGCTGAACTAAATATAATGGTTTTTTGAAATTTATAAGGCAATAGTGTAATTAATCAACAGAAAGAGTGAGGTGTTAAACTGTGAATTAATCCAGGGGCAAGCCAAAATAGTATTCTTTGGGGTTGGAAAAAATTCATCAAAAATTCTAATTGATAAATTCACAACACAGATTAACAAAAAAGACTCATTGTTAATCAACACAGAAAGCAAACCCAACAAAATGATCAAAATGACAAAACCCAATTAGTCAAATAATAAACCAAAGATCAGTATGACAGTTGCAAAAATGCGTAACATAAAATGTTTACAAAAATAACTAAATTAGAAACAGGCGTCACGTCACACTGACAGGTCAAAAGAAGAAACTTGGTTATTTGTTACCACTAAGACAATCTTGGGTATTATGGAAAGACTTGTAGATCACAGTTATCAATTCAAATTAGTTAAAAAAAGTTGTCCTATAATGAATTCCTGTCTTTACAAAAATTCAACACTGATGATTGTGCGTACAGTCATTAATCTTTACAAAAATTTGGCACCCATTGAATTCTTCAGTTCTTTTTTTCTCATACAATGCATTTAGTCTATGCTGTTCAACCATGATTTCATAGTAATAACATGAGCCCTATGCCCATAACTGGTCATTGTCCACTCTTAAAACTGACCACTTCAGCATCTCCATTCTGTATTCTAAAGTTACATAGTACTCTAAATCACAGTGATTGTTTTCTATTCATCATTAAGAAAAAATTTAATCTGCATAAACATCTTACTCCAATTTGACTAATATTGAAGATACTGAGGATAAATGCAGCTCAGCACATACTATTCAATCAGTGACACTACATGAATCAAATTTTTGGTGTCATGTGTGCAAGTGAGAGGAACATACTCAGTGTCAGACAAGTTCAATAATATCAGTGAGGGAATGCATGGTATCAGTCATCTGGATGACACTGTCAAAAGCAAATGAGAAAGTCAAAAGTGAGGGCACAAATATGTCATTGGTATCGATGGTATGGATATGGTTTAAGATATTATAGGTATGGTGTCAGTGGAAAGGTATAAGCATGGTGATGATATAGGGATGGTGTCAATTGGTATGGTATATGCATGGTGATAGTATAGATGTGGTGTCAATGGTATGGTTTATGCATTGCGGTGGTACAAATATGGTGTCAGTGGTATGGTATATGTATGGTGATGGTATAAGTATGGTGTACGTGGTATAATATATGTATGGTGATGGAATAAGTATGGTGTCAGCTGTATGATATATGTATGGTAATATATACGTTGTCAATGCTTAGATATATGCATGAGGGCAATTATAAGATTTCAGTACAGTAGTTGTATATGTATAGTCTCAGTGTTTAGGCATAGGTATGGTGTTAACAGTGAGAGAGAGGTGTGGTGTAGGTAGTGATGGTATATGTTGTCAATGTTACAGTGTTGGAGGTGAATATAGGGATATGATGTTAGTAGTGGTGCCTGTATCAGTTTCTTTCTGAGTAAGAGTTAGTGTCAGTGACCTCTGGCCAGCAGTGTGGATATTGCCACTATCCTTGTCATTTTTAACAATGAAAGAGGACATCTACAGCACCCAAGTTTTATTTGAGCATTTTTGAGCTTGAAATTTCTGGAGAGGTAGATGATCCATTGCAACTCTTATAACTGAACAATATAGAGATCATGTTAATGAAGTCCAAGTTATCTGACATCATTTCACACTGATACTGTGACTAAGCACCAGTATCATATAATTTTTTTTCTATTCTGTTTAAGTCACATCAGTATTAATGACAATGGGGGTTGACAACTGTGTGACACCATTACAATACTGGGTAGGATTCGACGACTGTGTCACACAACCTACCTCTGTAGAAAAATACCTCTGTTAATTCCAATTTAGTAAGGTTTACTGTCATTCTTGGGACGTTTTAACTGCACTTTGAGCCGTTTCATTCCAATTTGAAACCCATTCATAGCTGTTATGGCTGCTTGAGCTGAGACAGGGTTGTCAAAACTGACAAAACCTGCAAATTACAATTTATACAAATACATTTGCAACTAAAACCAAAAATCTAGAATTTGGCATTCATTAACAATTTCCTACTTTAATATGAACCAGAAAATATGTAAAAGTGAATTACGTAAAAACTGCTACAAAAACTAATAACTCACCAAAACATTTACTAAGATTTGTATGTTTGTCAATGAAGACTTTGGCAGAGACCACACTTCCAAATGGCATGAATGTCTGCATCAGATCATGGTCAGTGAACTCCTGTGGCAAATGGTATATGAACAAATTGGCACCCTCAGGTCCTGGAATGAGGAACAATTGAATATCTCAAACAGTGTCACATCTAACACAATCTTATTTTCAGTATCACATCTTAAACACCATTAGCAGATGGTTTCAATACTGCTAATGCAATTCCAAATCATTAAAAAATATCATTCTATGAAAAGGTGATACAGGAATAACTACGACAATATAGGGCAATTGATTTACATGATGCAAATGTCTAGTATTTTGTATGCATTGTGATAAAAAGTTTTTCTATACCGTTGGTCTGTTTACCTTCTGTCTGTTTCCCCGCTGGCGTGTTCATGGCTGCTTGAAGCATTGCTGAAGCAGCTTGTGTGTTGAAGGCATTCGGAAACGTGGCTGAAATAGAGACACTCAAACATGGCTCAAACAGACTACAAAGAGGCACAGTATTCGGATAACAGGTTAAAATGAAGGGTGAAAAAGGACAATAGACATATATGAAAGGAGTCTTCAATTGTACAAAGGGCAGCATAATTCAATGTTTTCTTGACATGTGAGATGAAAATATATTAAAAAAGAAATCAAAAATTTCACCCCAAGCAGCTGAAAAGTAGAGAACATGGAGAAAACATTCATCGCTACCTTAGATATTATATATTAAGAATATTGACTGCAAGCAAACAGAAGAATTCCCCATAGACCAGAACTAAAATGAATAATTAACATACTTTTGTAAACTAAAATGCATGTGGATGCTGTATTGAAAACATTGCACTATTTTGAAACATTCCAGGACAAGGACACAACATAAATATGAATCTTCTAAGAATACATCTGTCACTATTTTCTGTTTTTTTTTCTTTGCCCACTGTCTACAAAACAGCTTAAAGCAGGAATTCATAATTAAGGTAGCCAAACATCAAAGATCAATCCAACAAGCAAAATATGGGAGGGATGCATCTTTTGATAGGCAGGTATGGCAATGTGCATACAGGTATGAGATACGTATTGCACAATGACCTTCATACACATCAAGGTCAACTATATATAGGCAAAGTCCCAAAAAGGTGAAGGTGTAGACACTCGCAAAGCAAAGAGCTGATGCTCATCTTCAAAGGGAGCCGGAAAAATGCTTAGAAAAAGCACTCAAAATCCAATCTTTAGCTTGTGGGACTATCTTTGATCTAAGGTGCAATTACAAAGTGCAGTAGCCATAAAATAATAATAACAATAAAACTGATCTTTCAGTGCAACATCCAAGAAAATGCCAGCACGTGTCTGGAAGCAACCTGCTGACGTCCAAAGACATTTAACACTGAGGCACCTCATGTAATAACCTGCATACTGTTTACACTTAACTAAAGGGCAAAAAACCCATCACTTTTATTATTGACTAGTAATAGAAACTGGTAATTAAAAGCACCAAAAGGCTTTATGTCTATAGTGCAGTATGCTGCAATCAGTTGTTTTGCTATACAGACTGTTAACACATTCTGAATTCAAGTGGGGAGTTTGTCCAAAATAATAAACCATCCATTAAGGTAAAAGTCCCACTTGTCTCACCTTGTTTACTGACAAATATTTTAGATTTTGGCAATCTTATTTCTAATGTGTTCAATTTAGTCTGATCCATCTTGACCAAGTGCAGCATTCAGTGCAGGTTGTTAGAATGAGGTGCTGTATATTTTAAATATAAAACATGCAAAAGGGTCAGTATCTGGTCACTCTACAGCCCACCACCACCACCACCTCCCCACAGGCAACTACCCTCTCCCAGACCTACACCCCTGATCAACATATTGACACACATCATCTTGGGTATACTGGGGCAATGGGGGAATATACAGGGGCTGGCAAAACAGGACCAGGTTGGGGGGGAGGGGGGAAGGACGAGAAGTATTTGTTTCCCAGAATCTATTCCATGTTGCCATCTATTTAAACCTCACACCACAAATATGGGGGGCATTGGGGAGTTGGTGATCAGTTATATCATGGCTCAGTTTGTCTTGTAATCTTGGTTTGGCAAGCAGTGCTGGAACTACTACAAGCTTCAATCTGGCAGCCAAGGTGCTGTGAAACTAAGAACTGGTAAAATTTGGTGAGACAGCCTCCACAGCTGCCATTTTATTTGATTTTCGTTTTTGATTAAAAAATGTCTAAATTTGTGAGATAAAACAGTGAATTTAACTGTACTTTTTTTCAGCATAATATAACATCATTCATGTGAAAAAACAAAATATCTGGCCTTATTACTTTGTTCAAAGCAGCACTGCAAAGTTAAGTAATTGTGTGAGTCTACAACACAAACTCAAAAATACAAAAACAAAAAATTTGCTCTAGCTTCAATTTGTCAAGACAAGAGTAGTAAGTAGTACTGATGGTGGTGGCTCCCTCTAGTGAGGAGAACTAACACCATTGATAGGTGGCTCCCCCTGGTACCAACAACCAGCCATTTTGGACAAGTGGCTCCCAATTTTTGAGGAAAACCAGCTCTATCCACAGGTATCACACCACCAACAGGTGGGCCTCTCTTGTGAGGATAATGAGGTGGCTCCCTCTTTTGAGGAGAACCAGCACCATCACTGAATACAAAAACAACAAAGCAGGACTACTACAACCAGGTGGACATCACACGTGTGGCGACACACGCCAAGATGATGAGATATCAAAATGGGATCTTTACCTTGATTGAGTAAACCCGACAAACCTGCATACTGCTGGATCCCTGAATATGCCTGGGACAGGGCGTCCATGCCACCAGGCTGGCTGGCTGTCATGGCGGCAGTGCTGTTGCCATAACCGTTCATGTTGGTGGCAGCAGCAGCAGCGGAGTTGGCAGTGGAGTTGAGCGCAGACTGCATGCTGCTGAAACTGTTGCCTGTTGTCATGGTAGGCATCCCAGTGAGAGTGGTGTTGGGGTTACTGCTGACACCTATGGAGCCACTCCCAGCTGAAACATAATAACATGAACCAATTTAATAACACAGTGGTAGACTTGGGATTGTTTTACTTCAGGACATCGTGGCTACTGCAAAGAATCTAAAGACAACAGTTTGTTGTAAATGTAGACTAACTAATTGTCCAATAGACAAAGAAGTGCATTATCATGTGCTCAGGTCAAGCAAATAAGCTTGTGATATAAAACTTTACTATATTTTTTCATTTTGATCAATTCAGATTCTTTGTTTAACCAACCCATATCCATATCAAAAATAAAGCAAGATAAACCTATAATGAGAAGCAGAAACAGACAAATAATAAGAATGCACACAAATGATAATGTATACAGATACACTGGATTGTAGTCATGCATTATAATCTTATTACAGTTCAAGTCTCACCCACCTACTGGTCTGTTCAACTGTGCCATTAAAGCAGCTTAGGAGAACAAAAACATGGGTTGTGTCAAGTCGGATATTCAATTACAAATTATAAATGCAATAAATAAGTAATGATGTTAAAAAATGCAGAAATCATGATAAAAACAGCAAGGAAGAAATGCAGACAGAAATCATAACAAAAATGGTGTACAGCTGTATCTACACAAGGTGCCACGCTAAACTAAAAACAGTGAGCAGTAAAAAAACATGCTACAAACAAATAACTAAAGAATAAAGAAACAGAAATAAGAAACAAACACATTAAAAAAAGTAAAAAGGTTAGAAATAAGCTTTCATTTCAAATGAATAACTTATGAGCTGTTAAATAATCTGTACAATGTGTATAAACAATGTATAAAACATCAGCTCAGAAATTATTCACTCATATGACATGAACTATACATACAAACTTTTAGAGAAAAGGGATTTGCATCCCACTTTTTAAAAATAATTGATAAGCAGAGTTTTATGTCAAAGCAAAGCAAGACTTAGAAAAGGGTATTGGGTGAAATTTTGAGCTATTGAGAAATCACTGGATAGCCATTGTAGTCTGAGAAAGAAACTAAATGTGTCTGGTTCATCTTTTGGTTATCCACCGATTTCTTCAAATACAGTTTGTTTCTGGAAGATTGAATTTGAAGTGTTTACATCGTGGGCAAAGCTGAGGGTGTGATGATGCGAGTTAAAATGGTGTCAAGTGTGATAGTCGGTTGTAAATGTGTCTTGTGTGACAACAATTGAGATGCCACAGCATAAAGTGACAGCCATTACATGCCAGTGTGTTAGGTGTGACAGTGTGATTGTGTGATTGTATTAGTATGTGTTGTGAAGATAATAGCATGCTTGATTGTATTGGACAACTTGATTGTTGTATCACTGTGTATAGCAGTGTGGTAAAAGTACATAAAGGGACAGCTACAAATGTGCCTTTGTCAGCCTGTCAGTTTATGTCATAAAGTGTCAGACCAAGATGGCTTTGGCCTCAAAATTTCACCTTCTTGTGTGCCCATATTCCACCCTGATGACTGAAGACCATTACTTGAGCCTGAAAGATGACCAAGTGAGACGACATCATGCGCAGTCACATAGAGTACAGTACCATGATGGCTGCTTTCTGCAGATATTGTACAGAAACACATCCAATACAAAACACACATATTGATATACTGTAAATACCACTAACTTAAATACATATACAGGCAAATAAATACATAATATAATGGTAGTTTGTACATAGAAATTATGGGGTTTGGATAAATATTCAGCCACACAATCATACTGTACTGTGAACAGACATGACATTGATGTCTTTAGATAAGTTCTATATAAGTTGTATTAACCCAACTATACACATGTACTACCTAGGATATATACTGTAAAAGTTTGATTCCTTCATCAGGGATAATAATAATAAAGTTAATTGAAGGGTAAATCTACATTGTGTGAATAAGTTGTAGAAGATAGTATTCTTAATGGTAGCAGTATAAGAAGTAATAGCCTAACACAGTTAAGATATCAGTTCTACAGGAGATTCCACCTCTATATAAGTTACTATATAAGTTAATACTGAAATGCCAGGTTGATTAGAAATATTTTGTTTTAAAGAATGGCTTTTTTATTTAGAGATACAAAAGAGGATTGCAATCCTTTCATTTTTTTACAAGAAGAAAAATTAATTAATAAATAAAGGAATATGCCTGTTAAATTCAGTGATAGACAAGCACTACTGAGAACCTGCCAAAGGCCCAGTAATGAGTGTTATTTTCTAATACACCTGGCTGGGGAAGTAAAGTAGGTTGTACGGTTGGTCCAGCACTGTGATTTACCTGCATGATTCCCATTCATTCCCGTCATGCCTGATGAAGTATTATTTGTTTGATTAGCACCAGCAGCCGCAAGCTGACTCAGGGCAGACAGATTCAGCGCTGAGAAAAAGACAACAAGGACCCACAATTGTAAGCTAAACAGACACAGTACAGCATGCAACACATATCATGTCAATAAAGGGGGTGTTCAAAGACGAGGCTTTGAAAGTGGCATGGTCCAAAGTGGGCCACATTGTGGGTGGTTTTATGAAATGTTTTGAAAGGTAATTTAATTAATAATTTGGGTGAGGGACCTCCTATAAAACTATTTGTATTTTGTAAAGAAACAACTCTTGGTTAGAAACATTTTCTACACCATAAATATATAAATAAATGTATCTCATACAGCAAAATTATATGTATAACTCACCAGATATGCTAGACTTACAATATATATTAACACTCCATTATAAGTCTAGCACCTGGTAAGTTATTCTTGATTCTTAAAGGGCCATGAATGCCATCAGTACTGCAAGTATCTGAGGTACACATTTATTATAGAAACATACCTTCATAACAGGTAAATTTTAAACGTATCGAGCAATAAAAATGTCATAACCAAACATGCATGACCAGCAGAGTGAAATAACTACTAGGTAAGTTTTGTGTAACACTAGACAACAATACACAGGGGTACAGATATATAACATGGTTAAGCCAAAAGCTATAAAAAACATACAGCAACGATTATTAAGACTTCTAACTACAAGTCATGTAATTCTAATGTAGTAGGAAATTAAGAAAGGAAATTAGTACAAAACCATACACTTAATCTAGAGCATTAAAGTTAATTTATCTGGTATCTATATATCACCTAAGGTCACATCCTTCTCTTTGTAACCTCAAATGATTTTTTTTTTGCACTTTTAGTAAGTTAACTGTGTCCACACATTCAGAGCACACAATAAGTAGTTACATTTTCTGTACATTCACAACCTGTGATATTAAGAAACTGGTTATTTATTTTTTTTATTTATTTATTTATTTTTTTTTTGCATTATGATAATTTTATCCAATATTTATAAATTCATATATATATATATCAACATACTTAAATGTTAGAGCATATCACAGGCTCTAAATGCATTAATTATTAATTCAGTCAACATTCCCCCCCTTCCCTTCTACTATCACACCTGGAGTCCATGCATCAGGTGCTATAGAAACTCACCTGGATTGGAGGCTGCAGCCAGTGCCGCTAAACCCTGCAAATTCTGAAGGTTGGACAAGTTTGAAGTATCACCTGGAAGAGACACCAATCTATAAACACACAGGTGTTCCAGTTGCTGTGACAGTTTGTTCCCAGCTTGATGGTTTGGCAAGTGTGACTGACAGCTAGGTGGATTTAGTGCGTCTTGTACATGTAGTTTTTAATGAAATAACTGCTTTAATATTTTGTTTGACGTGTTTTCTATAATACCACACTATCAAAACCAAATGAAAAAAAAAATAAAATAAAATAAAGTAATAATAATAATAACTCAATGCATAACTTAAAAAAACACTGTTTTAGCTATGTTAGTTTATAACTAAAAGAGATACACAAACAGGATAAGATGAACAGGGACTGAGATCAGACAGGCACAGTGAACCAAGACACGGCACAGACAGAGACAGTCATTAAAACATTGATTTGCCAAACTTTGGGCACACAGAACACTTGGACATAGTGTTTTTGCTATGACCACTCCTCCGAAGATTGTAGTAATAGTAGTGATTTATCTAATTTCAATAGTTTAAACAAATCATTTATATTATTTATCCAGAATATTTCAAAATCAAACTTGGAAAAAATAATGACAAATGTTTGACTCTCCTGGTAGAGAGCTCTTTCCTGGAATGGGTCTGGTTCCCATGGCTGGGTCAATATCAAAGAGACCAATATAAAATGGTGTTTTCTTGCCACTATGAGGGTGAAGAGGGTGAAGCACGGAGTAAAGACCTGGTCAAGGTAACTGTAAATGATAATTTCAAGCAGCATACATACAGTAGATTAGGTTTTATTATTGTCCAGTGGGGGTAGGTATTTTCAGGGCTTAACACATCTGTAAAGACCAGCTGTAAGTTGTTAAGCCAGCTACTTACTTATTGGATGTCAGCTAGACTTTAAATAACAACCTCTTACGGAATAAAAAGTTCAATGTGAATGCAGATATTTCAAAATGCATTTCAAAACAAAAATAAAGGGGAAAAAACAACTACTACATGTAAAATTAACACCATTCAACAAGTATAAGCTTGTAATGTGCAAAATAAAACTCAAAAAAAAAAACAAAACAAATAAATTAAATGTAAAAAAAAAATAAAACGGTATGTAAAATAAAATAAATTAATTCACTTGTGCTCTTGATATAAACGATTAAAATAAGAAGACACGTGGGTGTGGAGATGTATAGGGATAAGCACACACACATCCTATATATGAATGGAATCATATCAGCTCACAAAAAGGCCAGAGGTATATAATGAATATCCTTCCTGGAAGCAGTGTTCAGACCTAGCGATACGACCTTGAGCTTATTTCTACATTTATGGCATATGGTTCATACATATATGTATGAGATTTACATAACTGTGGTAGATGTTCTAGATTGACATATGCTATGGTTGATTGTGGAACCTTGAGCATGATAATGGTCTACACTACTTCCACTTTGTCGGGTTCACTGTAGCCCAAGATTCGAAGTTGACACCAGTCAGCTTCTCCATTTTCAAACTGCCATATACACCTACTTGTCACATCTGAACTTCAGCAGCAACGATTGAAATTAACTGCACCAATTGCAGGACTATTACCTGCATCACACGCCCTACACTGAAACCATGAAATCCTGATAACTAAATAGAAGTTTCTGATTGGTGCTGTGAATTTCACTCAGACACGCTGCTAAAGGTCAAGCTCCAACTAGCATGTGCATATGGAGACTTCAAAATGATGCAGCTGGAACGGAATCAGACCTCGGAATGGTCCTGAACCTTGGGATAATCTAACTGCCTCTGTTGGTTGAATTGCCCTATTAAATGTTTGCATGTGGGAGGTGTGCCATGCAGTGGGTGGTTGTACCTGTAGCAGGAATAGCTCCTGTTGTATTACCAGTGTTGTTGGAAGTCCCGGGAGTTCCCGCCATATTGTTAACATTACTAGAGGCCGCCATCAGATTGCCAGTCTGCGCAGAGGAAGCAAGATTGGAGGCCATAGCTCCTAGGCCTACACAAAACACAAACACATATCACAGTACAGCACAGTACTTAACATGACAATACAGCATCTAACGAGGTTAAGGTGAAACATGTTACATATTTTGTTGGTATCATGTAAGATATGGAAACTAAATTATGGAACAACCACTACTATCTTTAAGAATAACTAACAATATTATATGCTTTAATTTCAAATCTGTAAAATCCAATTACTTTAAGCCAAAAAGCCACGACAGCAGAAGCATAGCATAATCTAGTTGCCATATGCATGATGCCAGTAAACACAGTCAGACCAAACATTAAAACAAAACAAATATATTAAATTAATAAATAAGCAAATAATCTTTCTAAAAATTCAACCACGGAATACTGAACAAAGGTCTGGAAATAAAACAGAAAAAAAAGATAAAATAATGAAACAAATGCACTGAAGGGAGTAACAAGACAGCAAGACTAGAAGATAAAAGACAAGTTGGAAAAAATCAGAAAGTGAGAACAAACCTCATCTTGCAGCAAATTGTTCATAGAGCAAGAAACGGAAAACAAGAATTTAGAAAAAATACAGCAAGCTATTCTTTGAAGTTGAGAAAAAAAAGTTGGATGAAAATACAAAGAAGGAAAAAAATGGACAGGACAGAACTTAAACAGCACCACTCTGGGGACCAAGCAAGCTATGGTAGGACACCATGTTTACCTGAGTTATTTTGTGATGCGCTGGCAAGAGCTGCCGCACCTAGAAGCTGCTGGAGAGACATCGCATTAAGACCACCTACATAGACAGGAAAAACCTCTGATAAGACAGGCCAGGAATACTGAACTTGTCTGGATTTCTAAGGCCTTGGCTCTACTCATTTGTTCAAATCCAGGCAAACGCCATGGTGTTGGTGTATCAAAGTTAATGTAAAATTCCCATAACCTCTTTTCTTAATGTTATTAAAATGCAGTAAAAGCAGAATCTGAGACATAAAGCAACATCAGTTTGTGGTTCATACAATCTGTCCAGAGTGTCTTTGAAGTTTCTGATCTAGAAAGAAGTTTCTTTCTCAAGCTATGTGCGATATGTTTTGTTTGTTCCCTCACCATTTGTATGACATTTAAACAGCACAAACACTGACAATTCTGACAAAATACATATAACATAAAGGTTGTGCAAATAGGGTGGGGAATAAAAGGCAATGTAATTAAATGAACTTTCACCTTTAACAACATAAAAAACCCTTTTTTCAAATTAAATTTGTTGCAAAAACCACCTGTGGAATAAGCCCATATGCCATTTGTCTGTGGGTCAGGAAATTGTGTGAGGTAGTTAAAGCATGAAACCATCAAGATCACCAAGAGAACCCACCTAAATTACTGAGATTCCCCAGGTTGCTGAGGTTCCCAGATGCTGCAGCATTCTGTAAGAGCTGAAAAGAGACAAGAAAAAGAAATGGGATAAGTGACAAATGGTTCTACCCACAAATACTGACTGGCTACGTAGCACAGTTTGTGTGTGTGCGTTTGTCTATGTATACATCAAAGAGTAAAAAGCCTGCATTATAGCTATACTGTGCATAAAGCTAGCAACATTATGTATGCATTTGTACATAAGATTATTCATTTCAAGGTTGGATTACACAGAAACTTCATGAAAGGTTGACATATGTTGCCAGCTGCAACTGTTAACATTTAAAAAAAAAAAAACAATTTCCATGGTAATGTGCATACTAGTAATTATCATACTTGCCAGTTATTTACAAAAAACTTTTTATGTTTGTACATCAAAAATTTGTAAATAAATAAGATTTTACTGTTAAGTATTGTACCGATAAATACTGTGGTCCTAATGCACTAAGATTTGATAGGTTTGCTAAACTGCTGAGTAATGTGGCGTTAATCTGTTGTAGTTTCTTCTGTTCTTTTTCTCTGGCCGTGTCTGCAAACTTGACAACTAATGGAGCAGAGCAGCCCTGGAAGAAAAAAAGGCGATCTTTAAAAAAAATTTATGGCAATTTGTAATATGTTTCTTCGTTATAATCAGCTATTGTTAAGATTATATTCTTTTAACTGACAACTATGGGGCCATTAAATTTGGGAAATTTAAGGGAGAAGTCAAACATACAGTGTTCCCATAATGATAATTTTAAAATACAGAAATCTTCTGCCACAATTCTAAATGCATTATCACCAATTTAAAAGTTTTCCAAAGCAGGTCAACTTATTTTGTCACATATATTGGGCGCAACATGCAAGCCAGGAGAAATGGAGAAACATTCACGCATTTTTACAAGATATAAATCACATGCAAAATGTCATTTCCTGAGAAAAATTGCAGTCTAGATTACTTTCCAGCTGTGTGTATTGTTTGATCACTTCACTGGGTGTTGAACAATAAATGATTTGAAGCATGTGCTTTCAGACCAACTGGTTTCCATTAATTTCTTCACATCAGTCCAATATAAATATATATATATATATATATTTGAAATTTCTTTCGTGTGTTCAAATGAAACATCTCTTTTATTGTAAAAAAATTTGAGCACATGAAATGAAAAAAGTATCAAAGCTTTATGAAAAACATTTCTAAACAACTGTGTTTCGACAGATTATTTTGTACTTGAGACCCGACTTTCCAGAATGCTGGTACATTCAACTTTATGGAGCATTTGATACAGCATTAATTCCACAGTTTTCAGCAGAACTGTGTCTTACATAATTCCCCCTTAAAATGTCTGACTCAATCTAAATGCAGCAATTCAGAGGGCATTAATGGTTCACAGCCTGCCTTGTTATAAAAGATGTTCTACATCTGGTTAATTTTGAACAAAGCACCAAATAAATTGCTGGAATTAATAATTAAAATAATGCAGTGCTTGTAATAGCATCACAAGTGCAGAGCAATGAAGTCGGAAGGTAAATATTCATCTGTGACCAATCAATATCTTTAATTTGTGGGTTGGTTTTAGGCAGTGTTAACTTGGTCTTCATAAAAAGATAACAATGAACTTAAATGAACAGAACTATTGAATCTTGATAGCATCATAAGATGTGATTTTCAATCCCAGGAGAAGCAAATTTAATGATGGAGAACTAGGAAGGAAAACCTACGAAAAGTACCCCAACCCACATACAAGGATAATACTTTCACTATCCTATTTGAGTATGTTATCACAGCTATACGGGACTACACTGACCACCTGAACCCTGTTAGCCCTCACATTCAATATACCACCCAGGGAGACCTCGGATCTTTTCCACGAAAGTCTAAAGTCAGTTTTTTGACTAATTTCTTAGCCTAGTAAGCCCAAGGAAACTAAGTTGCATCACATAAAAAATAAAAAATCTAATTTATTTTGTTTTCCTAGTCTTTTGGCTAAATCTCTTGAGTAAATTTTGATCATCTTGACAAAGGTTTTATACCTTAATGGTGTCTCATTTAGGTATGTATATATACTTAAATAAATTTTTTAAACTCTCGGAGTCCAAAAACCTTTTTTGTACAACAGAGGTAAGGTACCCTTCAATTATACCTGTCTTATTTCCCCATATGATAACTCTATCACACCATGGCCCTTAAGTGCCTGAAGTTTGTCATTTTACTGATATCCAAAAATGAAAGCACAGACTCCTATGGGGCATGGTTCTATCAAGATCGAGGTTTATAGATATTATGCATACTTGGTCACAAATCACCAATTTCAGCACCAATATTCTTGATCAAAATTTGAAGGTAACTATTCCTGATAACAGTGTTGTATTACCTCTCATCTGTAGAATGGCCTTGATAATTATTAAAGGCTGCATCTTAGTGCACATGTTCTAAATATAAAGTAACAGTATATAATATTAGTACTGTACCTCCATTGTCTGTGAATGATGCATGGCCTTGATTGCGTTCTGGGCACACTGTCTGGATACAAATGTTATAAATGCACAACCTGAAAATATAAGCTGGAGAGTAAGGTAATGAAGTCACACAATCTGTGGGGTTTCATTTCTCTTCCAAATCGAACTTCCTTGAAGATTAGCAATGGTAAAAAGGATTTTCAAAATGAGTTGCAAACGAAGCAGTGTAGTGGTAATATAAAAATCCATGAGTAGCACTGATTTACATTTGTTGTTAACATGTAATTTACAATCACTGTTTAGTCTATAATAAAGTCAAAAATTCTAACCACACACACACACACACACACACACACACACACACACACATTGGCAGACATTCATGCTAAAGAAAACTTGAAAATAACCCTTTCTTGCATTAGCTGCTCCTCTTATACAAAGATCCTGCACAAAGTTTAAAGGGCAGAGTGTGACTATATTGATATATCCTTTCATAATTTCTACAGAAGCCAACTTTAAATGAAGGCAAACAATTTACCGCAAACATCTTCCCAAAATGGGGAAAATCTATCCTGTCATTGACTTTCTTTTATAACTGTTCATTGTGGAAACAAAATTTTAGTTGCTTTTCAATAAGTTGGTGAATGAAAAAATGTAAACATCAATGTCATATCCAAAATTTTCTTTTTATAGTGGATCACATGAAACTAGCCAAATAATTGGGAAATTGTGTAACCAACCAACATAAAAAACAGTTTGAAAAAGAGCCATATGAAAGTGCTATACTAAGGTCAATTCAAAGAGGACCTTGGAAGTTTTTAAGTAACTGAGAACCTTTTGACAACATGTACAACATAAAACCATAAGTACACAAGGAAATACCAATCCAGCTTTTCATGCAAAACTACCAAAATACAATTATAATGAAAAGTGTACAAGTAATGCTAAGAGAAACCCCTAGAAGCTATATATTAACATCACTATAGTTCTCAGGCATAGAGACCTACAGAAACTTCTTGAATAAAGGTTATGCAGCCTTAAATATAGTGTTTGACCTTCCCTGCATAAAGTTCAACTCAGCTGTTTCTTGTGTAGCAGTTCATTCTAAACTATAAGAACTGCCATTAAACATCCCCATATCAATCATACTAACACACCCAACATAATATTGCATACAACGAAGTGACACACAATACTTTATAATTTGTTATGTTATTTCACCACATCAAAAGGTTTGTCAAATAAATGCTACCACAAATATTGTCTTTTTCAACACAATCTGCACACACACACACACACACACACAATTGCACATGCAGCACACTGGGACACACCCAACACACTGCATCACACCTAACAAACTGCATCACACCTAACACACTGTGTCACACCTAACACACTGCCTAAACCCTACCTCTGCTCTGTCCATTCTGATCCCTGAGAACTGTACACTCTTCTATCTGACCAAATGGAGAAAACATCATCCTGATGTCATTTTCATTCAATTTCTTTGCTACCATACCAATAAACAGTTTTCTTTCTTCAACTGAAAAAAACAGAAAAGAAAACAATAGCAGTTAGATTTAACATGGAGAAAAGCTATATAGCAAAATGAAAATAAAATTGTTATCAAATACAGACAGTGCCTTGGATTTGGAGGGTTTTGACAGCTGCTGGATTTAAGCCCTGCTTTTTTTATTCACAGCAGAACTTAATGCAATAATCAATAAGTCAGATTTTTACAATGACCAGTTACTCCTTATCTTAACCCTGTCATAGTGTCCCTAAAATTGTAAATCTTATAAGAAAAGCCATGTGAGATATGAAGAAATGACATCCTAGATACTGAAAAAATGTTCTGTATAACCAGAAAAGAACACGAGAATGTCAGCACCATCATCAATGTCAGGCGCTTACAGACAGGAGATGTAATAGATGCCACTGCCATATGGTTAAATATATTATGTAGTTGGAAATGCAGATTTTGAAAAAAAAAAAAAAGCATGCATATACATATATATCTACAGTATATTTTGTGGGATTCTTTTTCAAAAATTTTCTTCCTTCATTATGATTGTTCACTTCTATACACTACTTATTTAGTTCAGTTTGCAGCCTTCTTTTTAAATTATCTTCTGCATCATAACTGTTCTTTTCTACAGTTAGTATACCTGCAAATCAGACTGTTCAGTTCAGAATGCCAAAAATATTACTTGTTATACATTGCTCTTAATCAAGTGGCTTAACCTTTTTGTTTATTACTTGGTGAAATTAATTAATAGAAAAAATTTTCAGTGAAAATATTAAAGCTCACAGATACCTCAGTGCTAATAAAACATTTATCTCACATAGACATCACATAATAATGTTGATTGTATGATGAAAGGAAAAGGAGATTAAAAATTGAATGGTATGATCAGTCCAGAAAAAAATCTGCCATACTGACAAGAATGAAAAGTATTAGAGGTATAGGGCTGCTTCAGAGTAATGAGCGTTGCTTATAAGGCCATAATTACCCTGTCATACCAGAGGAAATTGAAAAATGTAAGCAGGCTTCTGAAGGTTGAATGCTTGCAGTCGGTTTCACCTGTCTGACAGATAACTAATAACCAGACAAGACTGGCCGACATATGCTAATACCAGTGAACTTTTGCCAGAGAGCATATCTTGGGAGAGAAATTTGTATTTTCTTGCATTACCATAATCTGAATAATTCTCGACAAACACACGAAAAATCACTTTTCATCCCACTTTTTTTCAAAGACAAACGGGAAATTAAACAGCTTTGTTGACATCAATATTTAACCTATGCATTTATGTGAATAATTTTTTCCATAAAATNAATGCTGGAATGTCTTTAGAGTTGCATTTGTCGTCACAAATTGTTGTTGGTATTTTAAGATTTTCTGTGCGGCGCATGCGCGAGTGTTCAAAACAGGAAGTTAAACCTGAAATTTTCAACATGGGATTCGGATTCGCTTAGCGTGTGTGAACGCAATACCGAATCGGATTCCTAACGAAAAATTCGGATTATAGAAATGCGCATTTTTGCAACTGTAGTGTGAATGGGGTATAAAACTCAGTTATGCAAAACAAATTGGGAAAAATCTTCCAGGCTTTCTGTGATTAAGGGATATTATTGCTGACCAGACTGAAAAGTCCACAGAATGGTCAATGTCAAGGCTGGACATAAAACAAAACAACTGGATAATTAGATAAGAATGGCCTGACATTATAACCCGTCTATTTCAATAACGTAAATGGAGAGAGAGCCTGGAGTCAGATAAGGTGTATATCTAAGTATGGATAGATAAGAAGTTCCACAAACACAACTTATTGCCCAAGGGTCTGTCTTGATTGTCCAACTGTGACAATGAGGCTTTGTGGGAGGACTAGGCAGCCTTAATAACCCATTTTCATATTTAACCTCTGACTCTTCCAAGGAGCACAAATCACAGGTTGTCTGCTTGATAGAAATAAATGACTCTACCCCTGCAATCTCAACCCAAGCTCATCTCAACATGCTTTATTGAACCAAATGCAATAGACACTGAATAACACCCTGAGAGTTTATTCAAAGCTATTGCATTAAATGATGCATAATAATAATAATAATAATAATAATAATAATAATAATAATAATAATAATAAATAAATAAATAAATAAATAAATAAATAAATAAACTGGTTAAAAGGATAATTTAACTATTTTTGATATAAATAAAACTTTGCTTTAGATCATAATTAGCAAAAAAAAAAATGCTCCAGCCACCTTCAAGTACTGCTTACATTTGTAGATAAAAAGGTTAATAGGAATTACATATCAGTTGAAAAGTTAATCATCTCCCAACCTCAGTTCACTAACTATGCAGAAAAACTCTAGATAAATGCCAATATTTGTATGGATTCCCACTTTGTTGATGATGACCTTATGGTTGTATCATTAACTGGTCTCAATTCAACATCGTGCTAGCTTTCAGACAAGCTCTAGAAAAAAAATCAGATTTGCAAAAAATGGAAAGATATTGGAAAACTGTCTCACATCATGTCACATGCAATGTCATGATAAATTAGGCTTCAAAGTTAGTGTGGTGATTTAACTAATTAACAGGTGTGAAATACTTAATACAATGAACTAATCTCAAATACCATACTTTTCTATTGGTGTCTAATCTCAGCCACACCTTTTTCAATAAGTTCAACAAGTGTATCCAAATATATGCCATTTTAACCTTCTCTTGCCCCCCCCCCAAAATTTTTTTTCAATATCGTCCAATTTTGATATTTTTATGTGCCATGTGTTTTTTCTTTTTGACTCGCAAAAAATGGAAGTCACCTATTAGTGAAAAGCTCTTTTTTTTTTCGCAAATAGTACACATCCAACCTCCCTTTTTAATTAAGCAATGCCCTCCCTACTACCATTTTTAGGTAATATACCTAAACCAAATCCATTACTTTCTTACACTCATTTGTTCACTGAAATTATCTTCATCTAGACACCATACATAACCTAATAAGTTACCTCAAATGTATTTATCTTGTGTCCTATAGCAAGGAGAACTCAAAACACATCCTGAGGGGCCCAGCACTGACTCATGTTATTTTAAAAAGTGGAATTTAACTAGGCCATGAACCAATCACCTCTGCATGGCAGTGCAGTTCATACATCATACGTAAATCATACCAAACTACCATCTACCAAAAAATGTGCTCATTTTTAGATAAAATTCCTCCTATGCCTTAACTAACCAGCTACAGAAAGTTATATTGACCAACATGGATAGCTACAACACACTTTGCCATTCTGCATGAATCCAGACACGACAGTATTCACAAAAGGGAAAACATAGTAGCAACTTCCTCAATTTACAATTCTGCCATTTAACTCTAAATATATTGTCTAGAAAAGTCCATTTCACATGTTATATATCATATGGGGTTTAAATTTAAAAGCAGCTCAGCACATATGAAAGCTTGTACATCAAGTACATGATGTACTTTGCATGAAATCACTTCCATGATAGATTGTTTCCCTTTCTCCACACAGGCACACCCCCTCCTTCTTGTCACTCAGGTCATCTCAGCAATTAAAGAAAGAAATATTGTTCCATGGTTAAAATCCTACAATGATAACGACCTCTTTGAGATCTAATGGGGGTAGGGCTGTAATATTTGGACACTTGGCTAGATAGATGCCAGAGTAACTTAGATATGAAAGTTAACAAGGGTGACATTGAAGTGTCACGAACTTCAACAGTGCCACTTCAAGATAACTATCAGCCTGGCGACAGCTTAAATGGAGAAAGTTGACAATAATTGCTGTGTGCATATCCATGTCAATCACATATATGCCATGGAATTAATCCAAGAATATGTGAATAAATCGACCGATTACGAGGAAATTTGATTATGACAATGCTTTTTCAAGTATAGGCAGTTAGGTCACTCAGTTCATTCTTAATTACAGCAAATGGATGCGTGACCAAGTAGAGGTCAACAGTTGGGTTAATTGAACCTTTTTTAATTCTGACAAGACTTTATTGGTAACCAACAAGAAGAAAAAAAAAACACCACAATCATCTCTTGAATGAAAAGCCATAGAAACCCTTTATAGTTCGATGGGCAAAATCTTTTGATATTCATAACTATCTACCTCCCCCTTTCCCCCAAAAAAAATCTAGGGGGTGAAAAATAGGACAAGCATACCTTTTTCTCGTAATTGCATTTTAAGCAGTTCGTGAGCTTGTCTAGTCAGATGTTATAATTTTTGATTCTGGTAAAAAGTGGTCAAATTGGATTTGCATCTGTTGGTGGTTAGTCATGATTCTATTTTGTACCATGCAGTGGTGTGTGGCAGGCATGCACCAGTTGATTTCCACCAGCTTAGTCAGAGAGCAAACTTCAACTCCCTAGAACTAATTGCCTGCATATAAACTAGTCTCCATAGCTTAGAAACTACATGTCATGGAAAGCACATTATGTGATATTTTTCCTCCTTTTACCACCATGCCAACTGTTCAAATGTAAACCAATATGTTAGGAGCTTAGTATTTAATCTAAAAAAACATTATTTCAAAATATTAAGAATTTTGTGAAATTAGACAATTAGGTAAAGGTTTCTGAATGGTCATCATCGTTATAGTTACCTTCATAGGGTGAAGCAAAAAAAAAAAAAAAAAAAAATCCCCCCCCCCCCATCCCACCAACTGTCAGGCTAGAGAAAACAACAGATAAGGAGGCATTTTCTTCAAGACAATATAAGACCGTTAATAGGGAGCCTTGAAGTGCTCAATGAAAACTGACCCTTTTAAGAGTTCAAAGCACTTCCATTTCTCCCCACAGCCATTGTTACATGTCATTGCGATTCTGTTTCCGTAATTGGTTTAGCATGGTGCATGATGTGGGTTACCAAGCTGGGAAGCAATACTGTTGGGCGTGGTAGTTTGTTGTGTTAAATGAGACGCAGTGCTGGATATGACAGCTTGTCAAGAAAAAAACAGGTACTTGTACTGATGACAATTGCTTGCATCATGGTAGCACAAAATTTTTGATGATGTGAAATTATTTCATAATTTATCAAATAAACTTCATTCAGGCCTAAGGAAAAAAAATTACTCGATTGTGTACTGCCGATTGGTATTCAATTTGGGAAAAGTTAACATATTTTCCTAAATGAAAATAAATTCCTCTTGGACTCAATCAGCACTAAAGCACAGAAACAGCTGTTAACTTTAATTTGGCCAAATGTTGCCCCCCCCCCCCCCCTTCCGACCTTTTAACAGACAATGAGTCTCTGTTAGCTCATTATGCCATGCTATCTGTATACAGTATGCAAGCAAAACAGCAGAAATATGCTTACCATTTCTTTTTTCACTGTCTGCAGGTTTCATCTGTATAGGATGATGCATCTAAAATAATAAGTAAAAAGCATGTTATTAATCTGTAAATTATTTTTAAACAAAAGAAAAAACTCATGCTTATATCACAACATAACTTAGTCATGTTAACTAATTCTAACAGTTATTCCGAAAATGTGTATAATCACATTTACAGAAAGTTTTGTCACAATTTAAAATCAGAAGATACACACATTCACATACCCCAAAAATAGATTGATCATTTTATAAAGGAACAAAAAAGATTTCTGAAACATCTTCTTTCCCTGTAATAAACCACACTGTGGCATACATCCCCCCAGAACAACTTTGTCACATTAAGTCAATTTGCAAAGGAAGGACAGAAAAACAAAGGCCTATCTAAAAACACAATAGCCTGCCGTTAATTCCAGGAAGATGTTATCAATACTGTCACAAAGGACCTGTGATGATATTTTCCTTATCAATGGAACTGTGGGCACCATACATCAAACACCAATTAGTAAGAAAATAAGACTGAATGTGGCATTCATATGCCATTTCTTCAGCTCCGCTGATTTCCCCATTTCACTTTGACTGAGAATTAACATTTGACAGATAGCAGGTCTCAGCAAGACCATTGTTCTGTGCAATAACAGTTCATTACACATATTCTGGGTAAATACCAGCAGCTTGATTTATGCACACACTGTGATAAGGTTGTCACAGCAACTGTTAAATAATGAGTTGCCATGGCAACTGCAGGATGTGTGACATCAATGCGGATGTATATGGAAGGTGAAACTGGCGTCAGGAGTAGAATCATCATCATCCAATTATTGAGTGCTTAATATGGCAGACACTACATACTCAGAAAACAGAAACCATCTATACAACACCCATTAAAAGCAATTCCTTAAAGTGTACATAAACACGCAAAGTGGCAACATTTAGATACAAATATCCATTTCATCTGGTTTAAAATCACTTAAATTAATGATTTTCCTTGCTTCATTCAATGGTACAACATCTATTTTGTATTAACTGGCATACAATACACTAATTAAAGGGGTAGTATTTAGTATATTCATTGTCTTAAATCTTCCCATTTCTTTTTAGATAGCGTGTATTAGTGTCTAATGGCACATTTCATCCTGCCTAGACCCTTTATGTTATGAACTCACAGCCCCCCCCTCCCCTATTTAAAAAATGACAATTTCACCTGTAAAAGCATGTAACTAGCACAAGATAAGGCCTTAAAAAGTAATCTTAAAAACTGGTATTTACAGGGTATGTGGCACTTGGCACTAGAGAGATCATCAATCAGCACTGGAAAATCACTGAGGATCCCAGGAAAATGTCTTATACTACCTACAATCCCTTACATTGAAAAAATTAGGTTTGTCTGTAGAAGATATATGAATTCCTCAGTCAAAATTCTTGTGATGAGCAGATTGCATGTGGTGGTGGTAGTCATATTAAGATATGCATCTTTAACCTGTGCCATCGCTAGTGCGGATTATTTAGTTTCTTCGTGAAATCCTTGCATGAGTCCCTACATTAAGGATATTAGTCCTGCATAAAGAAGTATCTCAAGAGACTATGAAGAGACTATGAACACTGTAACACAAGAACAGATAAAGGATTGCCAGTCTCCACATATTCTAGTTTAGAAAACATACTCAAACACAGTGTCTGGTATTCAATAGTCATCCAAGAGGTGATATAAAATGTCATTAAACAGGAATATTAGCACCAGTTTGAGACCCTTGCTTTATCAGAAGCCTTTCGCTTATCAATTCCCCACTTAGTACGGAGTATTGTACAACGAGTATTGTACAACGACATGATAAGTCTCTCCTATGGGTAAATCACGCTGCATTGGTTTTGTGCTTCATTATACAGCTGTGTTCATTTATAAAGAAAATTGGACACTCAGCTCTTCAGTGCAAAATTACAGGACATCAACTTCTATCTCTGAGCTCCTAAACAACTTTATAAAATGCTTTGATAGTTTAATGGCTTCATTCCACAAATCTTTATCAAATAATTAGGCTGTTGATCTGTTTTGAAAATGATTCAGAGGTCATTTATTTCTATCAATCTAAAGCATTCAAAGTGCTTCAAAGATGGTGGCTCTCTACCAGTAAGAGAACTATTTCATTATTCTTATCCTTGGTCAATATTGAAGTTTAGTTACATAAATATAATTTTCCATGCAACATTGTCATTTATTCAAACATTTTCATTTTCCACTTCATTTTGTTGCCATCTACTTCCTTTAAACCTTTATTAGATAGGAACAACAACAATGTTACTATAACAAATGTTATAGTAACAAATACATCCTAAAAGTGAAAAGATAAAAGATGTTTTTTTCCTAAAATCCCATAAAGAAGGCCAAAATGTTTAGTCACTTCTAGCAGTTGCTTCTTGTATTTTCAAGGGCTTAAAAATATGTTTGAGTGGCATTTAATAGCAAGGAACTTGGTTTGAGAAAAGTGCACTGAAACTGAGACCACAAAAAAAGCGACCTGCTAAATGACCATTAAGTTTTTTTAGGTTTGACAGCTAGTTCAGAGGCAAGTTCAGTGCTCCACAGTCTATCAGTATCAAAAGTTACATAGCAAAACAGATGGCAATCTGGCAAACATAAAAAACATCCTTTTTTTTCACATGGTCCAAATTTCTTTGAAAAATTTGGTGCCTTATACCATGCTTATAAACCAGATTAGCAGCATTAATGCTCAGAGAATAGTTCTAGGCTCATTATGTAAGGATTAAGGTCTAGTCCTTTCCGGTCACACAAACTACACATATACCTGATATATATGGTTAAAACTGAAGAGATGAAAAGAGGAAGATATCATAGCTTCCATTAATTCCTGCCATCACACCCCAAACCATTTGACCAAATAAGGAGTGGGCCTCTCTCATCTTTGGTAGTAATGTACATCTCCTTCACCCAACTGATTTTATCTGTGGTTTGAAAGGTGTGTGTGTGTGTGTGCGTGTGCGTGTGTGTGCATGTGCATGTGTGTTGGATAAAAACAGGAGAAAGGGAGGGAACGAGAGAAGGAAAAGATAATCTTACATTTTCACTGCCCGTTCCAAACTGATGGCATTTGGTGTATTGAACTTATCTACGGTCACAGCAAAATTTAGTTATTACTACATTTTTTTTTAATGTCTGTAATTACCAAGAAGTTTTTTTCATACCCAAACCCAATTTTACGAGAGAGTACCAGGTACCTGACCTTTCTAGTAATAGCTGTTAGGAACCCTGGCTTGGTAGAGTTTCCAATAAAAAATATCATTCAACCACCACAAGCATAACAAGTTGTTTATCATTTGTTGGCCAACAACAAGAACATATTTATCTTAATATTACCAAACTAGTTAACAGCAAGACAGTGTATTCAGAAGATAGATTTTACGCTGACAATTAACATTTATCTGCTTTGCAGTCAAAAAGAGGATAATAAAATCCAAGCTCAGAAAAAGTTCATGTGCTAATATAATGCACTTCTGCTTCTTAAAGAGTGAGGTCAATTAACAGTGTAAATTAAATTGTGTAATGACAAAAAGTACTTACCCCTGGCATTGTTTTGATATTGTGTAAAGCATTTTGAGCTTCTAGCGCTGCCTTCCTTGTGAAAAATGTCACAAAACAACAACCTGGAAAATTGTTTTAAAAAATGTTGACAAAAAAACTGAATCATCTTTTTCTTTCAGACTTTATACATATGCAACTGATACATTTTTTGTTTCCCAAATTACACATTTTCATAAATTTTCAATTAAGTGCTATATACGATCCTGCTGCAATAAAAACTTTTTTCTTATACAATGGCCAGTTATAAAAAAAGACAGCTGGTTAATGACCTCAGTGAATGACAGATAGGTGTTTAAAAAGAATTCTGATAGTGACTGCTGCTGTCAGTTATATCTGATACATAAATAAGAGTATTTTCATAGCCAATGTCAGTTATCAATGTTAAACTTAAGCTTAACCATACAAAAGACAGGTATGGTTATCTTTCAAAGACTTCACTTTTTACTTTCATGTAAAATTCAACATTCGAGCTTGTGCACTTCTGTAACTACAGATTCTAAACAGTAAAATAGTTTTACATTCTTAACATAAAAAATCATCCTCACATATATTTTTTCTAATTCTTTTCAATTATTTTTATCAAACAATAATTAAAGCTCTTCCTTACTGTAGTTTTTGTAAGGAGAGCTGGTACCCACTGTCTTACCTTTGCTCTGTCCTGTTGCTTTGTCTCGTAGCACGTTCAATGAATGGACTTCACCAAACTCTGAGAACATTTGTTTCAGATCATCCTCGTCCATGGACCTTGGCACCTGGCCAACAAACATTTTGATCGCATCAGGATCGGGTTCACGTGTTTGTGAATTCATTTTTCTGAAGCGAAATGGAGAGAAAGACCCAGTAAATGATCACAGTCACAATGGTCAACAGAGATAATTTGTGTCAGTGGTAGCACAGAGTCCTATACAGTTGCGACGCTCGCGACGACAAAACAGTATGCTACAATTTCCACACAAGTCAACTAGATGGCATCAGTGAAAGAATATATAAAAGTGCACCAGCAACATTAACCTGACACAATGCAGTGGTGTGGGCTACAAAGCTGCAGGATCATCAGCGCACACAGGAAATTGGGGATACTGACAAAAAAAAAAAGATAATTCTAATAACAAAAGGGAAATTAATATATATCACATCTTTTGAGGCAAGAAATTAAATAAGGCAATAAATGTTATATCTATGATATCATGATCTATTAGAGAAAGTGATTGTCAAATATTGGTTTGGTTAAGCATTAAATATATCTTTCTCAGTTATCGTTACCTAGAAGGAAAATTCACCATGAGAATTTGACAGGTAATATACTGTCTTAATTCTAAAAGAAAATAATACATTGCCATAGCAACATAGCCGTTGCAGGAGTATTAGTGACAAGAAAGGAATAATTCATTGTAACATAACATGTCATTTCCTTTTCCCAATGATCTCGAATTTCAATATCAACCTTTAAAAATTCTAATTAAAAGCCACTACTCATGCAATCATCTACAGAAACTTGTTTCAAGCCCAATTCTTTTTTATAAGCCAGAATGTTTTCTCAGTTTGGCAAACAAGCTGTATCAACATAAAAATTAGGAGATTAGACTGGAAAATACTTGTGGTACTGATTGCCACTGAAAGTCAAATTTATACTAAAACATGACAGAATCCACAAACAGGCCTGTAAACATTCCACTCTGAAAGTATAAGGCTTATTAAAAACTTCAGCTGATAAATATAAGACGGACATAGCACAAGTGGCACACGACAATTGGAAAAACCTTGCCATATCTATATACAAGGTCATAGACTCTCAGGCAAGAAGAACACTATGCTACAACAGGTGCAAAATACATTTTCAGCGTCCTAAAAATAATCAAGAGACAGTATATAACACAAACTGCTACAATAACATCCCACAGTGTTGTGATAATTGCATAGGAAATATGCGCAAAGATCATATTTTACACTGCTGTTACTGAAATTAATATTATCTTTGGATAAGATTACATGGAATGCAGCATCTATTACACACTTCAGCTGTAGCTGGTACAGTATTTTGACGAAATCAGAAAACCTTCGACTTCTATCTAACATGTATATAAACATCAAATAACAACAATGACCACCAAATTCAACCTATCCACCTCATGTGTTACAGACAAGAAAAAAAATTCTACAGTTTCTCATACACACAGAAGGGGTACCACTTAGTCCTTACTATCAAAAGTGATGTTTAACCTAAAGTTATAGGCAGTTACACCTGCATCTTTGTTTACTTTTAACACCTTTAGTACGACTACTTGGACTAATTATCAGATCTACCAAGAAACATAAACAGCATCTGCTTACTTTTACAAGTTATTTTTATGACTGTATCATCCTAATGGTTTTCCAGAACTCTTCCAAATGTTCCTCAAACTCTGACCTATCTCCATAAGAACCAAGTACTCTCAGTCTACACATCAGCTTGTGAAAACAGCCCCTGCGTGCACCAGTTCACCCGCCCGACCAAGCAGCCATAACACTTTACCAACGGCTGCAAGTATTACGTAACTCTTTGTTGTAACATTGTAACCAGTCTCATATCAGCCGGAACCACGTACCTTGATGCTATTGAATATCAAGGGTGACAAAGTTCATGCATTTTGTGGAGATTGGAAGAATTTTGCAGGCAGGGTATGGGCAAACGTTGTCACGGCTTTCATCAGTAAAATAATAAACAGGGCCTTGCATTAAATATACTAGCAACACAAAAACACTGATATAATCTATGGAGACCGAAGGGTTACTTCAACATATTAAACCTTTAAGAATTATTCCAAAGCAATACAAATAACATACCTAGGAAAAATTATGAAAGTTATTCCTTTAATTTTTGGAGTTAATGCATTTATTGCTGACAGTGTGAATGCTGACCTGTAAGCTGGATAAAGTTGCCAGTGGAACTAATGTGTCTACTTTTTCACCCCAGTTTTTAGCTTACAGTACTTAGCTTGGACAAACATCAGCTGCTGTTTAAATAGGTTTTGTAATTTCTGTTTTTATTGACGATCTATAAGTGACAGTTTGCTTAAGCAGCATTTATTTAATAATAGATAACTAAGGGTTAAGTTGTTCAGTACAAAATAATGCAGAAAAAGTTCAGCATCTAGGAATGGACCCTTTCCAGAAAAGTAACAGAAAAATTTGGTAGACACTGTGTAATAACAAGGACCATTTCAAAACAGTAATACAGAAACAATCCAATCACCCCTTTCCACACGTGTTCCCTCAACACTGCTCAGTGTTAGAAGCAAACCCTCTCAACTTCACATGGTGGCACAAGATATTGTAGCTGCACACCTGAAGTGCAGGCAACACAGAAGCCAAGTGCCTCTCAGCAGGTGGAGTGAAGATAATGCATGCATCAACAGCATCACAAAACCAACACAGCAGACAGTCACACTACAGTCAGGAGGCCTACATGCATGCCAGGCTTAACTAGCCAAATCTGAGGGTTTTTTCAATTTTCGATATGATTATCTAGCATTAAGTGTCTGAGTAGATATACCTCTGGGTACAGGTTAACTATACCATGCAGGCATCAAAGAGAAGAGCAGATGCTGTGCAACAACCAGTAGGTCCAAACATCTACTAGCTAACATCAGAGAGCGGATCAACACTGATGCCCAGATATCTTGCTAAGATGAGAAGCAACCAGAGGCATAAATACATACTTGAGGCTTCTCCAGCAACGACCAGAAATATCTTCAAATTTGAATACAGTTATCCTGCATTATGCAGCTCCCTCTTAACTGTCAACTCCTATAAATTCAAGTGTGCTCTTATTTCCCCGTTCCACAATGCCTGCTCCATTGGCTTTATTTTCACTTTGAAAAAAGGTCATCAGATCACAAATTATTGGCAGATTATTACCTCTCACAACATCTCATCTATAAAATAGCTTCAGCTGAAAACCAGTGACCCCTAACTGCCCCTGGTCCTCTCATTGATTGACACAGACCTCCAAAAGTTATTGGAGCAAACATCTCAAGTTTTGCCAGTGCTATCTTGAGCCGTTTATCTGTATGTCTTCTGATTACCGCAGGTGAGATTGCCCCATTTCCGACACCCCATGCTGCCCAGACACAAAGACCCATAACTCCCTCAGACATACACTATTCATACAAGGGCCACACTATTCTTACACAGACAATGAGAACCCATCCTAGTTTTTTATAAAATTAAATTAAAAATAAATTAGGTTTTTTTTTTTCAAATCCTTTGATATGTTCTGAATAATGTATTTTGTCTGGAAACCTCTCCTTTAAAAAACATCCATCACCAACTTACCAAACTTGACCACTTATCTTGAATCTTAAAATTTAACTTTGAAATAAAAAAAATTCTTGTTTTCAACTACATCAATGGACAAAGCATAAGTTCAGCCTTGTTAAAATCATCCAGGCTAATGGATCCCGACAGATTTACTTTAATTTCTGCTGTCGCTTCAAGCTTATGCTCTGGTTAAAAAAGAGAAGTGTTTTGAAGATATTGTGTTGTTCAGTCTGACATCAAACTGCTTTCATAAAAGATTGGATATATGGATCCCTAATGGATTGGATAGATATTTGACATGATCTGACCCATTCCATTTCTAAACATTAAGAAGCTCAATTACACCATGCTTCTCCTAACCTTTCACAGTACCCTGAAGCAAATCTACCCAATGGTGTAATTTTACAGATTCCCTTTTCTATCAGAATTAATCTACACCACTTTTCTATACCAGTAATACCCTGGGACCACAAATACACTGAAAAGCTCAGTGTGTGAACTATCCATACATACATTTAATTGATATTTAAATCAAGCTTAGTCTGGCCACCTGCTGTTGGAGTGCTGTGGTTATGTAACAGCAGCACCTACCCACTGGACTGTGGCCATAGGGCAGTGCATAGGGCACCCAACCACACTGCTGCCCCTGTTATTCTAACCCAGTCACACTAACATGAGACTTAAAGAGCAAGTCTCAATGCATCCCTGTGCAGCACTGTTCCTCTGGACCCTACAACTACACTGGCTTCAGTGCCAGAAAACTAATTGAAACAGTGAGAACAGCAGGTACAGAGGCTTAGGAAAATAGAGTTCTCTGCATGAACGCTGGTCAAACATTACCAATGGTCAGAGTAAAATCATAGAGTTAAATGGTCAAAGTTCAGACCACAGGAGCACTAAACTTCCTCCAGTATTAACTTAATGTCATCTCCATAATGTATAACAATGCTCACCCTTCCATGTTACTATATTTTACTTCATGCTGACAATACATTAAGAATAATTCACTGACAATCAGTAGGGCACACTCAAACTAAATATTCAGCATTAAATTATTTTCTTAAACTCAGTAAACAGGCATAGAAAACACAGTCAGTGGTTTTCAAGTCCTAAGCCATAAAACATCATCAAAGTTAAAAGAGCATGTGGAAAGTGCATCAATACTTGAAAATGTATTTTAAACCCATAAATTCCGTTTCCAGTCCCATTAAAGTCCTTCAATGCACACATGCTGGGGACTTCATTCTCCAAACACTCACACAGCTTCTACCATGAGAAATTCTGTCGTTTCTGACTTCTCAGGCTACTAGTACTACTAAGACTACTACTACATGTGCTGCTAAGCAATAGTGCTAGAAAGGCTTGGTACTGTACTTCTTGAGCTTGCAAGGTGTAGGTATCCCCTTCTGAGTTGCTGGTAATCCAATGCAGGAGAAGGTTAATCCATTCCCAAGGGCAACCCCTGCTCTTTTCATTCTCCTGGATGATAGTGCACTACTGTGCTCTTGCAAACTTAGCCGTCTCTTCAAGAATTAATTCCTGGCAGCACTGGCCTAATGCTTGACATTTCTACCCACACTACACCTTGGCTTTAATGTGCTTTACCTCCGCCTTCAATGCCGAAGAGGTTTGAATGTTCTACAACCATTAAACTCAAACTTGCTTCAAACTGGTAATACAAGCCCCCTGCAACATCTTTTGTGCTTCTAAAGGGCATTTAACAATTGGTCGCATGTGCCAAAAATATGGACAGGTAAATGACTTGGTGAATCATCATATCCTCTGACAATGGCTGCCTGTTTGGGTTTTTTTTTCAGGCCCTGTGCCAGACCAATGGATAGGCAGTGCAGATTATGAAGACAACCTGCATAAAGATATCATCAAACATAAAACAAGAAGGCATTGTTTAACAACCACCTTCCATGAATTCATAATGCATATTCCCTAGTATCACAATAAAGCTTGCGTGCGGCAGGCCAATACGCTCCTTGTACCTGCAGTCCCAGCATTTACTGCGAATATATGTTATCTTTTTGGTCCGTGACTTGACAGAACTTCGCTGTATTCTAACCTGTTTCTAATGGCCAGGAAATGCTCCCAAGGGATACTGGTAAAGACTTGTGCTGTCTATAAGGAGATTAATAGTCTACCTGGAGGAGGAGGCAATAATATAAAGGCTGCTGCTGCTGTTCAGGCAGCTTATCTCCCCCTCTCACCTGCTGAGACATACAAATGATAATCCTATACCTGATGGACCTTGGGAAGTCACCTTTAGAAGCCAGCAGCAAGCTTTTTGCTAGCCCACCACGTATTCGACACTATGCTTCTTAAAACCAGCTGCCTTATCAACAAGTTGATTTCAAAAGTATGAGATGAAATCAATGAAAACCTACAGAAAATACTTATCAGCTCTGTTGTCTTCCACTCAAATCATATGAAGGTTATCATCCGTTTGTTGGAACAATCAAAATAAATATTTTATTTGTACTTAAATCACGATCTTATCAAAGCTGCTGATTTGTATGAATTTTTCCTATTATTTGAAAGTCACCTGTGCTGCCTAGAAATAATTACATTTATGCTGGCATTATTGACTTCTGCATCCATACAAAACAGCACTTGGCGGGAAACTATCATCCAGGCAGGAGAAAAAAGTGTGGAGAACCATACATTTTATAAGCATCAGAATATAATAGAAACAACTTGTACATCATGGTTTACATATATCTAGTCCCATTAATTAGATCTCGATCTCCATATTGTCACTCAACTATCTAGGAGTTAAACACAATTTACCCTCATTACACAAGAGTTTAAATCATTAATTCTGAATCCAACAGTGTACCATTAAGCTGTTCAATACATATGGGGAAATCATTTTCTGTCAATGCTTAACTCAATATTAGCTTGAGAGACAATAAACCTTGGTAATAATAGCACTTCTGTGGAGAAATTAATATCATCAATCATCCAACACACATAGGTAGATTATGCACGTGACAATGTGCATCATTCTTTTGTTCCACAGCATGGAGAACACCACTTCCACTGAATTGTTCTAATTCAAAATCAATACATATTCCATATTGATATTTCTATCTGAAAGGATTTTCCATTAGTCCACGCTCATCATTATCAGACATCATAGGAATCACAGTCATTAGACACTGATAGCTCCTGATTATAGAGACCAGAAGTATCTGATTTATGGGAATAGATTCATGGAAACAGAAAATAATGAACTGCCTCTCTATCAAAGGTGTACATACTTTCTGCATGTATTAACTGCTGACTGAATATATTCATTATTTTTTTCTCATTATAGACAGAGTGCCCTTTGCCACTAATGTGCTATGTACATTTTGATATTTAACCTAATCCGAGAGTGCGAGATGGCATGCACTGCCAAGCGAGATATCAGCTGCTACTGGACTTTCATATTATATACCTGCATTAGTATATAATGCTCATGGTGACAGCAAATGCTGTGTTAAGGTTGGGAAAAACTAAGCTGGCCTATTATGCAAATCCGCTGCCAGTGCACCTGTTCTTCTGGGTCACAGGTTATTATGCAATCCATATAGCACCACATTTCTTTATCAGAAATCAATTGATTAACAACAGGCTGCAACCTTACAGCATCTGATAACAACTGCAAAGTACGGTTTCTAACCCACAAAACTATCAGCTTAACTCTCAGTGAATTAACTGTCGACTAAATATTGAAAATAGTAACCAGTCTACTCTGTCAATGTCAACACAACAACGCACGGCAGTATATAAATTATAGACCAAAGCATAGCATTTTACAAATCAAAATAACATTTAAGCAATACAAGCTACTTTGCTGATGCCATTTTCATATGCTACACTGTGAAATGTGTCAAAAAACTCTCAAGATATATAAAACCACAAATCCATGGACCTCGCGCTACAATCGGCTGCTATTTTTAGCGGCCATATGCTCTGCTCCGATCCTCTCCGACAGCTGGTTCTACTTTATATATCGTGCTATTTATGCAAAAAATGATAACGCTACAGACAAACAATTAGGGGATTATCTTACATGAAAAAGGAATCTGTTCTAATTTTGCTGTTGACCAAAAGTAAGAAGTAATATGCAAACTTACCTGATAACGTAGAGACAAACACACAGGACACCACAAACACAAAACAAGATGGCGGTGCATGTGTTTCCGCCGACTGTCGACGGTAAACCAGGTAATATCTGGTCGAAGCAGAGTGCAAGAAAAATAGCAAAATAACCCTAAATCCCTAATAAAGCCGGTCACTGTATCACAATCAATTGTCAATCTAAAATACCAAAGTTAGAGTTTGCAGTTAAATGCCTCGGCTCTTTTCGCGCAAATTCGGAGATTCAAGATGGCAGCGCCCGTAAATCTAAACAATATTCCAGATGATCCTTTAAATCACATTTTCTCATACCTGGATTATAAGGACTTGGTCAGGTACATGGCATACTTTGTCCAAATGGTTTATAGAATTCGTCAGATTTAAATCCAGTGCTGGTTATATTAATAATAGCCAAATGTCTTGGTAACAACAAGACTTGGTCCAAGCAGCTGACACAAATTGAATAACCGTATCATGTACAAAGTTGTGGAATGTAGCTCCAACCTTTCAGTATGTAAATTGCTAATTGTGTGCGTAGTTTAAAGAGCGTTATAACATTTTCGTTCAATGTTATTCACAGCTGCCCAGGCTCATGAACATACTTGAGGGGGCGCTACTGAAGTCTGATGGGTTGTTGGATAGAAAGTAAGGAATTAAGTCATGATAATTATATTATTAATTTTATGTTATTTTTAGTTGCTGTAGAGCATGCCATCGGCTTCATGCAGTTGCTGAAAACAACGTTCATTGGAAAAGATTATGTCAGTTTTACTGGCTAGAGACAAAGTGAGAATCATTTTAATTTGATTCACTTATGATGTTTTTATGTTTTAATATAATTTATAACATCTACATAATTTCTTTCTACTAGACTCTTACCCTGGATTCTGGAATGACACCAAATTATGAAACGAACACAGAGGTTCACTCTTTTTCCTAACATGCAGTGTATAATCCCACCTTGGCATTGCACATTAAATACATTTTAGCAGACCTTTGTGTTTGTTCCAAAATGTGGGATTGTTCCATAATCTAGAGTTGGAGTGTATATAAGTATCTAATAATTTCTAAATAGTAAATTGAGCTTAGCCGTAGACAAAGTTTGCAGTAAAGCACTTAAGAGGATTTTATTCCTTTTCTTTACATCATAACCTTTACATTTTTGTTATGATTTCTATAAAACTTTGTTTTTTAGTTCAATCAGTGTTAGTGACTGGAAACAACATTTTGTAGCATGGTACAAAGACTATGGGCGATATGTAAACTGCTACAGGAAAATAAAAAAAGCTTGGACAAATATTGAAAACTTCATCGAAAAATCCTGTCCAAAGATATATAGTTCAATCCAATGTATGTACACAATATGAGTATATGCAAACACTTAAAGACATAACTTAGTAATTGTTGTCAACCTTAACTTTCCAAAATGAAGTAGACATTACTGAGATAGAAGTCACATAGCGAGTGATCAGTCATTCACATTGCTACAGCTGTTTATTTATTTTTTTTCCATCTGGTTTTAGTATCTTCAACTTGTCTAGCTGTGATGGAATAGCAAAAGTTATTAGTAATTGCTCAAAAGCAAAATTTACCTTATTAATTTGAGGTACATTTAAAAGCTTCAAGGACTTCCTCAGATAGTTGTTAATTACATATTTATTTTTATTTCAAATTTAATTTGATCAGTCTAAATTTTAAAGGGGAGTGTACCTTTTTGTTTAATGTGAGTATCTTTGCATCATGCTTACAGCTGGTGTTTCCGAGGAGGTTTTAACAGAAGCAGAGAACAGAATTCATCAGAACCTACCAGATGCATTCAGATGTTCCTACAGAATTCATAATGGACAGTCTCTTATAACACATGGGTAGAGTGCAATTCCAACCTTTCACACTTCAACACCAAACAAACTACCATGACTTGCACATCAACAAAATCAACCCAAGACCATTTAATACTCCCTGATATACTAATTGTTAATAATATTAATTACTGATTTTTGATATGTACACTTTTTTTGGAGAAAATATTTTTTCATGCAAATAGTATTGCGCATTTGGTGTATAATTAAAATACAAAGATCTATTCAATCAAAAAATTATCAGTCTGAAAATATCTGTGCATGGCCCTTTTGTAAATGTATCTGCTTTTTGTTTGTGATATGTTACTTCTCTTTCAGTAATAGATGGGGTGACTATAGAACTTTTTTATATGTTCTTTTGAAATATTTTCATATCACTGAAGGCTGATGGGGACTGTTAAGATTGCTAGTCATGTCAGAACACAAGAGCTTCTGGATCTGCGGACAGCAACCAACAACTATCAGGTGAGTAAAACCAAATGAAAATAAAGGCAAAACTGACCAATAGATATATCATGTCTTGATGAAAACTGGCAAAGTCTTTCAAGAATTTGATGAAATAAAAAATGTAAGAGATGGTCATATTTATGATAAAATAAAATACAATGAGCAAAGGCTATGTTGGCCTATTTGTCCAAGATAATATTATAAGCATTTATCTGATTTGTATGAGTAAAATAAAGGATACATTTCTCACTCTTGTGTTTGCTTTTTGCACATTAGGGAGTACATTCATGTTTTTATGTCTTAGGATCATGGGGACCTAAAGTTCATGATGCCTATCACACTGTGCCCTTTCACACATGTGGCTCAGTTACTGGTGCTATCGGAAGACAGCGGTCTTGGTTATGGTCAGGTGGTCTATCCTACACCTGACAATATGCTCCTTTCAAATAATTCTGCCATGGATTTCTTTATATCAGGTCTGCATGTTATTTAATGAACTGCTGTATTTGCATAACTATACATGTGTGTATTTATGTGTTAATTATGAATGTATTAGTTGTATTGTATTGGTTGCCAGTTCGTCTGTTGTGCCCCTAAGGTCATCAGACTATGGGACAGATAGATATATAGATAAGTTGTAACAGTGTGATTGGTGTAAAACATGAGGTTGTTGCTGTATGCTTTGTGTACAGATTCTTATAGCTAACGAGTTGTAACATCAATTGAGAATATTATGTCTAATAATAGTATGAATTTATATATTTTATTTAGTAAGTTATTGTTAGATTTTTGCATGAAAAAAGGAATATAGCCTGGTAAATCCTTATAATGCAAAAAACTTACATATTCTGCTTTATAGGGAATTCCTTTGAGGATTGGTTTATATCATATGCACAGGATTTGGAGAGAAATACATTCTCAGTTGTGAATGGGCAGATTTACAGGTGACTTAAATTATAACATTTACCAGTCATTTTATGTGTTAAGTCATTACAGAAATAAAAATATAACACTTTGAAATGAATCTCTTTAAGCTGCAGACTGGTGAATCATTAATTTAAAATACACCCATAACTGATATAACTAAAATTTAGTCTTATTATTATAGTTACTCACCTTAACCAATCTGAATGCATACAGTGCTCATGTTTGCCCACTATTATTTATTTCATTTGGAATGTAAAAATCTCCTTCCTTGTTGGGTGTCACTAAAGCAGTCTAAGAAACAGCTGTCTGAATAATCACATCATTAACTGTTGTTGATTGCAGGTTATATCGTGAGCCTTCCTGTATTGCTGTCACCAGTGGTATCCAAGTAACAGTTGCCACTGCCTTCATGCCAGAGCTCAGCACAATTAACCCACCTCACTTCTTCTTTGTCTATTATATCACGTAAGTTTTGGTCATATTGAATATGCTTTGTGAATTATCTTGATTAAATAAATGTTGCTGAGGGAGGACAATACTTTTTCATAAAGAAGTTTTTTTAAAAAGCAGAATACTAGAATCATGATTGAGTAATGTAAATTAATAATTTATCTTTGCATGCACTTTCGTATTTAACAGTATCTTGATTTTATTTATAGCATGTCCATGGCAGAAGATGAAGATCCAAAGGAATCTTGTCAGCTAGAGACACGGCACTGGATTATCACTAATGAGGAAGGAAATGAGGAGAGAGTTGATGGACCTGGAGTAGTGGGTAGGTAAATGTTAATTAACTGATGACTGCAACTAAAATGTAAAAGATAAATATTTGTCAGAATAGAAAAGTAACCGATAGTAACTAAATGCACTTATTCATAACGTAAATAGAAATGAGTGAAAATGAAGTAAAGGTCTTCAAATTTTCAAAGATATAGAAAACCCGTTTTGTTATGACTTGATTAGAATTAGCTCACACACACACAAGGAGGCAAATATGTTTGGTTTGCTCCACTGCTGGCTTAAGTATTAAATTGGCTCCCAGTGATGAAAATATGAAGACAGCTTGCTGAGGTCCTTCAAGCTTGAATGGAAACATTTCTCAGTATGCAACTTCATTGATTACAGGTCAAGTTTCCACAAAATTAATGGAATGGAAATTTTTGTAAATGTATCATGCAGAGGCTTGTCTTGAATAAATGAGTCTTCATTACAAAGGCACTCACCTTTGCTATACTGGCACCTAGGTCACTACCCAATCATGCGTCCTGGCTCCAGTTTCTCCTGGACTAGTAGCACTTCCTTTGGTACCACGTATGGTAACATGAAGGGATATTTCAGAATGAGGAATTTGAAAACAGGTACTAAAATGTCCTGGAGATGATTGAAAAGCTTTCTGAGATTGGGAAATTACCAATGATGGATGGATGCAGAGACAATGTTGTACTCTTTTCCATTAGCTTTTTTTTTTTTTTTTNGGCACCTAGGTCACTACCCAATCATGCGTCCTGGCTCCAGTTTCTCCTGGACTAGTAGCACTTCCTTTGGTACCACGTATGGTAACATGAAGGGACATTTCAGAATGAGGAATTTGAAAACAGGTACTAAAATGTCCTGGAGATGATGGAAAAGCTTTCTGAGATTGGGAAATTACCAATGATGGGTGGATGCAGAGACAATGTTGTACTCTTTTCCATTAGCTTATTTTTTTTTTATTTTGGAATGAGCATCTTTAGACAGGTGTTGCCAATGATCCAAGGGTATTTCAAGAATGATCCCAAAAGCATCCACTTTATGCTCAGAGGTAGTTTCCCATTCTCTGCAAGTCGTGTTATTTGTCCATATTCTCTCTCTCTCCACTCCAGGGGAGTACCCAATAATGCGCCCCAAGGCCATCTACTCTTACACAAGCTGTTGTTCCTTTGCCACACCCACAGGGAATATGAGGGGAACCTTTACTTTCAGAAATCTTAAAACAGGTATACACCACATATTTTTGGAACATTTCTTAGAGAAATACTCTGATTTATTAACTGTTGGAAAAAAGTAATCTCAAAGAAAAACTAAAGGCAAGATTGGCAATTTATAATCTAAATGCAATGAAGTTTAGTTTCAGGATACTTTTATATCATGAAGTTTAGTCACCCCTCTTACCCCCTTTTCATTACTGTTAAAAGATGACTCAACCTTCCCCTTCTTCAAAGTACATTATTTTTTGTGATAATATTTTATTTGTACAAGTTTAAACAAAAGATTTTACTTGCACCAGATCAACCATTTGTATCTTAATTATTTTTTTGTCTGTATTTTGTGGAGATAGTTTGGCATTTGTCAAATATTGGATGATTTTGTTAACGTGTTGAAGTCATGCTTTACTTCTTGAAGGTGGAACATACTCTGCCAATTTTGTTTGTAAAATTAAGTAGACTTTGATATTTTTCTAAAAGTCACCTTACAGATATGTTCTTTTAGGACTAAACATGGAGGTTGAATGCCCAGTTTTCCACATGAAGTGTTTGCCATACATCACATGTGCACAGGCACACCAGCAGGCAACAGAAGTGAAGAAAGGAAAGTAGGCATGGGACTGTAGTGAAGAAGTTTTGAATAATCTGCACCCTAGTATTAAATAGGCACCATTTGGTATAGTTGGTACTTCTGAGGGGAAAGGACATAACTCAAACAAGATCTTAGAAATGCACAAAAGATGTATCAAAATGTTTGCTACCTTTCCCTTTTTTAAAAATAAACCAATGAAAACTAAATATTTCATTTAACACATTTGTCAAAGTGCAATGAATTGATATACCTTTAATTTTTGTTAAGAACTCGTTGAACTTGTGTATAAGTATTATTATAATGAACAATATATTGCTATTTATATTTAACAGAAATGAATTTTAAATTTCATGATTTGTTTATGTTATACATTGGTGTTACAACAGCTGCCTTTAAAGTTTAGTTGCAGTTTAACTATTTGACAGCTGGCTTTTTATGAAGACATGCAGTTGGACAATTATCTTGGAATCTTGGAACACAAAATCAACAGCCACATGTTGTGGTGTAGTTTTGTTTCCATGTACAGTAAAAGTGAATAACTCACATGTACAAATAATAACAACATATTTTTGTACTTCATGTTCAATATTTTTTCACTTTAATATACAAAGATGGTCTTAAATACAGGAATCGACATGAATTTAGAACTGCACCATCTGGCCCTAAAAAAGAAAGAAAAAGCGAAATCAGTCATTTAAAATTAATGGATAAATGATGCTTCTCCCAGCAAATTTGATTCCATTTCAATTTTTAATCAAAGTACACTCATTTGGAATATGTCTGTATTTAAATACAAAATAATGATAATCATAAATAAAATAAATAAATACTCTGTGTTTTACTAATTTCTTATAATTATCAAGCCAAAAGGTAGGCCCTTTTCACATCCCGAATTATCTGAACTGAAACACTATAAAGAGTCGCCTAATCTGATAGAGCCCAAGCATTTCTCATCACAATACCAAGTAATCATAATAACACGTTATGACCAGTCTACTTGTATATCCACACAGATAATTATATTGCATGGTGTGAAAAGTGCTGCAGCTTTTTTTTTTATTTGGCAAAAGGTTCTTTCACTGCTGACCAGGGGTTCCCAGGATTTGGGGTACAAGTAGTACAAAGTGTGAATCTATAATTTGGTAATTGATTTACAGGGAGTCCAACTAAAGCAAGCACATCCAACCCACTTATGAATTTTGTAAGCCATCCAGCCTTTTTTGGAAATATAGGCCAGCTTTTGAGGCTAAGCACCTTCCAAATGAGGGCTGGACGGCTCTCTGGGGAAAGCCTTGGTGCTGAAAATCTTTTATTGACCCAACTTCCAGCACATTTTGCCTAAATTTTCTTACCTTCTTCTTCCTGTCTCCTCCAAGTTCAAAGTGTTTACATCTCTTAATTGAGATTTGTTTCTTATATCTGCAGTCTGTGCACTCCATACGCAGTACAACCTTCTTTGTGGTTTTTGCCTGAAACGATCATTTGTTATTTTAATATTACTGTTATACAGGTCGGACAGTAATAACAATAAATTGTTAAAACATCTGCAGTTAAGTTTGTGTTTTCAACCATGAAATAACTTTCCCTCCAAGACTTGCAAAAAACTATCAGAAAAGTTCTTACTAAAACTACATGTAAGCAGAAAAATAAAACATCTCCATGAATCTTAATACTGTCAATTTACAGAATTAGCAAGACATTGTAGCACAACTAACAACACATTCCACCAATCACCAAGGACTGCTTGCATGTAACAGATTGATAATTCATTTGTTCTATAGATATCATTGTTTTAATCACCTTTTTGTGGAAAATAGGCTTCGTTTGACCACCATAACCACTCTGTTTCCTGTCGTATCTTCTTTTACCTGAAATATCCATAAACAATATCAGATACGAATGTCCATCTTGAATTTCAGACCCAATGCTTTATCAATCTTGCCCTCAGATGTTAGTCCCCCGTGTCAAGCACCAGTTTTCAGATGCATAATAAACGACAACAAAACTAGCATTGATTGGCAAAAATGACTTATTTAGCTTTTTAATAGTATACTATAAAGCTTACATAACTGTCTGCCTTGTATTGTCCAATGACACTCATCATGTTCAATATGCAGGCAACATAACATGTTCATTCCACAGGGTTCATACAGGAATACTAAGAACTACTTCAAGGAATTTTTGAATGCAAATAAAGGCAATATACATACCAAAGATAATAGACAATTATTTCTTACAAACTTTGCATTTTAACACATTAGTATTGAAACATGAATAAAATAAAATAAAATGACACCCAAAAAAGGGTATTCTCCCTTTCTGCTAATTACTGTCTACATTTCGGTAAAAATGAAAGCATTTGAAATAATTTTTAACAAATTACTTATCAAAATTTAAGTACTTTTCAAGGACAGAAATGATGGAATGCAAGTCCCTTTCAAGGCTTACTACCCAAAACTACAAACTAAATTCTAGGCAGAGTGCTAAATTCAAGCACTTCTCATGGCTGTATGAACCCTGTTCCATGTACAGAACTGTATGTATAGACTCATGAGCAACACATCTTCTGAAAAAATGCAGGAATTAATTTCTTCTAATCTGAGATGCTTTAATCTGAGAAATTATGAAGTTATATGGTCTCACAGATACATTACTTTATGGAAGCATGTGGATAACTAAATGGGTGTTTGTGACTAGCATAGTGAAGTAGAATCAAATGCAGCTGAAGTCCATCAGCTTGCAAATCTAGAGGTTCTAAATTGAAACTGACAGATATCAGATCAATGCTGAAGCTTAAAGATACACACAGAGCTGCAGCAGTGCATTTAAAACAAAAAATTATCCACTGAAGTATACATAGCACTTGTGTAGGGGGTCCCAATGAATAATGCCTACATCCACAGACAAACCCCAATTTTGATTAAACCTGCATTACATCCAGTTCCCATTTATAATTTCTAGAAACTGGATACAATTAACTTGGTTGTATTAGAGCTCACACTCAAAGCCTTACTACTCTCATTCAGTCTTAAATAACAAGAATGTTAAGGTAACAATGAGTGGAATGGTGACAATTGTGCAGTGCCTCTGTAATTCACAAACTTTAAATGAAAGAATAAATATTAAAATGGTAAAAATACAAGTCAAGAAAATACATACCTTGGACGTGGACAGAATCTCTGCCCTTCTTGTATTGTGTCACTTTGTGCAAGGTGTGCTTTTTGCATTTCTTGCCCTTGCAGAAGGTTCTGCGGGTCTTAGGCACATTCACCTGAAAGTCGTGCACATTATATAATTGCCACAAAATCAAGAAACCCCGAGTTCGAGAAATCCAACAGGTAACGCACATTAAGTTACTATATATCAAAATCCATTTTATTTCATTTTAGGATACTTGAATATATTAATTTCAAAGAGATCAATTTGAACATAGGCCTTTCTACACAACATTTGACCCTAAAATGAAATCGATGGTGGGAGATTTAATTTAGAATCGGTATTTCTTTTCTCACCATCTTGGTGCCGTAGAGAGGAAAGGAAGTAGGTGGTGCGCATGCGGAAGTCTTCGAGGAAAATTTATCAAACTTCCTGTTACCCTTATATTGTTTTTTCCTTTGACATTTTGGCTTATTATTCTTAAGCGTATTTTTGAATTCAGTTATCTAGATTTATCCATCGTAAGTTGTTACTAATTATTTAAATGAAAAAGAAAGCTCAAATTGGTAGGACCGCAGAAAAAGCACGCTGTTGTATGTATCTCTGCTGTGATATTCTCTGTCAATTTTAAAGATAAACAAGTGGGATGAATTCTTCTCCAGAGAAAGCTAAGGCTTCCAAAGATGCCCATGCAACTGAAGATGGTGAAAAGAGCGATATGAAAGGCCAAAAACGACCAGCAAAAGAAGTAAAAGAGGATATAGCAAACAAAGTTAGTCAACTCAAAATGATTATGAATTTGAATACGATTTCTTCAGTGCATTGCAGTCTTAGACTGCTTTCCCACAGATTTAGATCGATCCATCTGGATCGACCTAACTCCCTTGAAGTTCACGCTAAATTGCTGTCAGCTCAAGAGGCTTAAATGTCTGTCACGCCTACTGAATCAGCTAGGGTAAAGGTAATTACCCCCTTACAGCTTTACTAGGCGTGACAGACATTTAGGTACTTTTGTAGTATACCCCCCCACCCTGTAACTTTCTGTAACTTTCACTTTTCAAACAGTTTTTTACATTTTCTTGTTCATGTATGTCAAAGCTGTTGAAATAAAATGCTTTTGTTATTACCTGTGGACTTTTTATTTGTTTTAATCACGTTTAATCCAGCCCATTGAAATACAAAGTTAGAATCTTCAATTTACACCCGCAGTCAATAACTTGCCGCGTTTTCGTTGGCTAACTCAAAGGTAATTTTATGTGAACAAGTAGCTCATAATAATTTCACAGAGAAAGTCCAAGTATACAATGTATCAATCCTATGTTCACATAAAATAAGGTAGAGTTAGCCAACGAAAACGCGGCAAGTTATTGACTGCGGGTACATTGTAAATTTTCACATTGTATTTCAATGGGGTGGATTAAACGTGATTAAAACTAATAAAAAGACCACAGGTAATTACAAAAACATTTTATTTCAACAGTTTTGACATAGGTGAAAAAGACAATGTAAAAAAATGTTTGAAAAATGAAAGTTTCAGGAAGTTACAGGGTGGGGGGGTATACTACAAAAGTACCGACATTTAAGTGGGCCACATTGACAGCAATTTAGTGAGACTCCCCAGGGGGATAGAACGATCTAAATATCTGTGGGAATGCAGTCTTAGACTGGGTTCCCACAGATTTAGATCGATCCATCTGAATCAACCTAACTCCCTGGGGGGGGTCATGTTAAATTGCTGTCAGCCGAGCAAAAGTTAATTTCCCCCTTACAGCTTTTAGTAGGCCGGACAGACATTTAAGCCAGCTAAGCTGATAGCAATCTAGTGAGACTCCCCACGGGGATAGATCAATCTAAAAATCTGTGGGAATGCAGTCTTAATGTTATGCTTTATGTTGTAAATTAGGTCTCTAGAATGTGTCAACAACATTTGAAGCGTTTATCTTTAAAGATTTTGTACTTATAACTTAAAAGTTTGATCTTCGCTTTGACCAAGTAAATACTGTACCTAGTATTACACCACACTACTACTGTAGACAGTGTGTTGAAATGCTCGTGCAATAGTAGTACTACGAGTGGTACTAATTTAAGTTAATATAATGGCTTATTGAAAGCTTTATTAATGTTTCCTACTACAGGTTTCTTCTCCAAATGATTGGGAACATGCAGATCTAGGAGATGCTGGCAGGAAAAATAAATTCCTAAGATTAATGGGAGCAGCTAAGGTATAGATCAAAGCGTTCTTAAAAAAAGAAAACATATGAAAATGAACAACCTTAAAAACAGAATGCAGCAAAGTAAAAACAATTAAGAATGGATGCCTCTAAGTATATTCTTGCAACTACTTCACTATCATTGCAGCTTTTTGCTTCTTGATAGGGACAGCATATGACATGCAGAGACATGCAGGCTACTTGTACAATTTATTTTTACAGATGCATGTTTTTTCTTTTCTATAGAAAGAGCATCATGGTAAAATTGTTATTGGAGACCAGCCAGAACACAAGCAAACAGGTAGTGTGCAGGATTAACTTTGAATTAGCTTGAATAAGGTTAAATTCTTTTTATTGACCAAATAGTTTCAGAGGATATCCAGCAGTATTACAGTTCTTTGTTACTCTCCCACTTAAAACAGGCTTAGCTAAACAGTGCTGTGTATGCCCTCAGTCATTCTTATTTTGCTCATATATTGAATAATTTGCTTAGCACAATTGTGCTAAACTCATGCAACAGGCATTTTTTTCAATGAAGCATTGAAGTGTATCTGTTTTCATGTAAACACATTACTTTTAAATTTTCATGGATGGCTGATCATTCTGGAATTCATATTAAATTACAGTTTTTAATTAATATTCAATCTTTCAATACTAGGAAATGTAGACAAAATTAACTATGAGTTGGAGCAGCAGTTTCAGCATGGCATGGAGCACAAATTAAAGGGAGGAACAAGGAGGCATTTAGGACTGGGATTTCAAAGTGAAGAGGATGAAACAAATAAGGAAAAAACTGAAAACAATGACAGTGAATCCTCTCAGGGTCCCCCTGAAAACTCTAAGCTTAAAGAAGACTCTGAAAGCAGAAAAACAAAAGAGGCTTCACCAGAAAAAGATAACTCTTGCAAGGTTGCAGGTTTTGTAAAAGGAAGTTCTTGAAAGTTTCACATCTCATTGTGATTAGAAGGAACAGTGGCAAAGAGCTCCATTCCTATGCATCTTGCTCCATCTNTTTTTTTTTTTTAATTTTGGAATGAGCATCTTTAGACAGGTGTTGCCAATGATCCAAGGGTATTTCAAGAATGATCCCAAAAGCATCCACTTTATGCTCAGAGGTAGTTTCCCATTCTCTGCAAGTTGTGTTATTTGTCCATATTCTCTCTCTCTCCACTCCAGGGGAGTACCCAATAATGCGCCCCAAGGCCATCTACTCTTACACAAGCTGTTGTTCCTTTGCCACACCCACAGGGAATATGAGGGGAACCTTTACTTTCAGAAATCTTAAAACAGGTATACAACAGACAGATTTTTGGAACATTTCTTATAGAAATACTCTTTGGTTTATTAACTGTTGGGAGAAAGTAATCTCAAATGAAAAACAAAAGGCAAGATTGGCAATTTATAATCTAAATGCAATTAAGTTTAGTTTCAGTATACTTTTATATCATGAAGTTTAGTTACCCCTCTTACCCCCTTTTCATTGCTGTTAAAAGATGACTCAACCTTTCCCTTCTTCAAAGTACATTATTTTTTGTGATAATATTTTATTTGTAGAAGTTTAAACAAAAGATTTTACTTGCACCAGATCAACCATTTGCATCTTAATTATTTTTTTTGTCTGCATTTTGTGGAGATAGTTTGGCATTTGTCAAATATTGGATAATTTTGTTAACGTGGTGAAGTCATGCTTTACCTCTTGAAGGTGGAACATACTCTGCTAATTTTGTTTGTAAAATTAAGTAGACTTTGATATTTTTCTAAAAATCACCTTACAGATATGTTCTTTTAGGACTAAACATGGAGGTTGAATGCCCAGTTTTCCACATGAAGTGTTTGCCATACATCACATGTGCACAGGCACACCAGCAGGCAACAGAAGTGAAGAAAGGAAAGTAGGCATGGGACTGTAGTGAAGAAGTTTTGAATAATCTGCACCCAAGTATTAAATTGGCACCATTTGGTATACAGTTGGTACTTCTGAGGGAAAAGGACATTACTTTAACAAGATCTTAGAAATGCACAAAAGATGTATCAAAAAGTTTGCTACCTTCCCCTTTTTTAAAAATAAACCTGTGAAAACTAAATATTTCATTTAACACATTTGTCAAAGTGCAATGAATTGATATACCTTTAATTTTTGTTAAGAACTTTTCGAACTTGTGTATTAGTATGTTAATGAACAATATATTATTTATATTTTACGGTAATGGATTTTAAATTTCATTATTTGTTCTTTATGTTATACATTGGTGTTACAACAGCTGCCTTTAAAGTTAAGTTACGATTTAACTATTTGACAGTTGGCTTTTTATGTAGACTCATGCAGTTGGACAATTAGTAGAACATCTTGGAACAAAATCAACAGCCATATGTCGTGGTGTAGTTTGTTTCCATTTACAGTAAAATTTTTGCCTACTCAATGAATAACTCACATGTACAAATAATAACAAAATATTTTTGTACTTCATGTTCAATATTTTTTCACTTTAATATACAAAGATGGTCTTAAATACAGGAATCGACATGAATTTAGAACTGCACCATCTGGCCCTAAAAAGAAAGAAAAAGCGAAATCAGTCATTTAAAATACAACATTTATCTGGATAAATGTAATGCTTCTCCCAGCAAATTTGATTCCATTTCAAATTTTAATCAAAGCAAACTCATTTGGAACAAGATGTCTGTTTTTAAATACAAAATAATGATAATCATAAATAAATAAATAATTACTCCCTGTTTTAATAATTTCTTATAATTATCAAGCCAAAAGGTAGGCCCTTTTCACATTGCGAATTATCTGAATTGAAACGCTGTAAAGAGTCGCCTAAATTGATGGAGCCCAACCATTTCTCATTGCAATACCAAGTAATCATAATAACATGTTAGGACCAGTCTACTTGTATATCCTCACAGATAATTATATTGCATGGTGTGAAAAGTGCTGCAGCTTTTTTTTTCTTTGGCAAAAGGTTCTTTCACTGCTGACCAGGGGTTCCCCCCAGGATTTGGGGTACAAGTAGTCCAAAGTGTGAATCTGTAATTTGGTAATCGATTTACAGGGAGTCCAACTAAAGCAAGCACTTCCAACCCACTTATGAATTTTGTAAGCCATCCAGCCTTTTTTGGAAATATAGGCCAGCTTTTGAGGCTAAGCACCTTCCAAATGAGGGCTGGACGGCTCTCCGGGGCAAGACTTGCTGCTGACAATTTTTTAATGATGCAACTTGCTGCTGACTAAATTTTCCTACCTTCTTCTTCCTGTCTCCTCCAAGTTCAAAGTGTTTACATCTCTTAATTGAGATTTGTTTCTTATATCTGCAGTCTGTGCACTCCATACGCAGTACAACCTTCTTTGTAGTTTTTGCCTGAAACGATCATTTGTTAATTTAATATTACTGATATACAGGTCAGACAGTAATAACAATAAATTGTTAAAACATGTAGTTAAGTTAAATGTGTTTTTCGTGAACACTCATGGTGCTATTTTTAAACCATGAAATACCTTTCCCTTCCAAGACTTGCAAAAACTATCAGAAAAGTTCTTACTTAAACTGCACGTAAGCAGAAAAATAAAACACTCTCCATGAATGTAAATACTGTCAATTTACAGAATTAGAAGACATTGTAGCACAACTAACAACACATTCCACCAATCACCAAGGACTGCTTGCATGTAACAGATTGATAATTCATTTGTTCTTTAGATAACTTTGTTTTAATCACCTTTTTGTGGAAAATAGGCTTCGTTTGACCACCATAACCACTCTGTTTCCTGTCGTATCTTCTTTTACCTGAAATATCCATAAACAATATCAGATACAAATGTCCATCTTGAATTTCAGACCCAATGCTTTATCAATCTTGCCCTCAGAAGATGTTAGTCCCCTATGCCAAGCACCAGTTTTCAGATACATAATAAACCACAACAAAACACAGTGAACTAGAATTAAATGTAGCTGAAGTCCATCAGCTTGCAAATCTAGAGATTCTAAACTGAAGCTGACAGATATCAGAACAATGCTGAAGCTTAAAGATGCACACAGCTGCAGCAATGCTCACCTTAATGAAATTGCATTTAAAACAAAAATTTATCCACTGTAGTATATATAGCACTTGTGTAGGGGGTCCCAATGAACGCCCACATCCACAGACAAACCCCAATTTTGATTAAACCTGCATTACATCCAAGTTACCATATATATAACTTCTAGAAACTGGATACTATTCAATTTGGTTTAGGCCACACTTTTTTAATTTTATGGATGACATCCTGCGCGCGCACGGATTTTCGCCCGTTCTCCAAAAAAAAAAAAAGCCCCCCCCCCAGCCCCCAACGAAGTCGGTTGTCGCAAACGTTGTTATTGAATTTGCAAGGAAATGAGCTTTCTGCGCATGCGTATTTTCGCCACGTGGAAATGCGGCCACTTTGCTGTCAAATTCATCTCTAGGATTACTTTCAAATTACACAACAATAAAAGTCATAAAGAGAACGGGCGCCATCGTTTTGGATTGGTATGCCATTGATATTGGGCATGGAGATATCACCTTTTTACAATTGTGCGAAAGGCTGGCGGCGGCCGAAACATTTCTGTGACATTCTGTATAAAGCAGCACATTAATACCAGGTTTTCTGTAGCGAAAAAAGGGTCGACAAGGGCGTCGAGGTATTTGGTGGGCTGAAGGTCGGACAGGCCACCTGACAGTTTAGCTGCTTCGTGTGAGTTGAAGTTGACAAAATGGCATCGTCTGAAATGACCTTTAATAGATTTGGTAGTATTAAGCATATCTTTGCATCATTTTTTAAACATTTCTGTGAAGTGTTCAAAATGTTTTAATATTCTGAGAATACAAATAAAGACACACTGTTTGATTGATATTTGTTTTATTGATTGCTATACCAAATGAATGCATGAAATAACCTTAAATAGATTTGGTAATATGAAGTATATCAATTCATGACTTTTTTTTACATTTCTACGAAGTATTCACAATGCTTTAATATTTTGAGAGCATGGATAAAGACATATTGTTAGTTTGATACGTGTTTCTGTGGTTAAATTTGTGTTTCCAGCTGTGTACTGACAGCATTCCTTTACTTAAGCAGTTTTTTTTTTTTTGGACTGTTTTTTTTTTTTTTTTCGCCCTCTCGCACCGATTTTGGGGTACCCAGAGGATGTCATCCATAAAAATAAAAAAGTGTGGCCTTACGGTGAGAGCTTACACTCACAGCCTTACTACTCTCATTCAGTTTTAAGTAACAGAAAGGTTAATGCAACAATAAGTGGAATGGTGACAACTGTGCAGTGCTTATGAAATTCATGAACTTTAAATTAAAAAATAAATATGGAAATGGTAAAAATACAAGTCAAGAAAATACATACCTTGGACGTGGACAGAATCTCTGCCCTTCTTGTATTGTGTCACTTTGTGCAAGGTGTGCTTTTTGCATTTCTTGCCCTTGCAGAAGGTTCTGCGGGTCTTAGGCACATTCACCTGAAAGTCGTGCAAATAATATAATTGCCACAAAACCAAGAAACCGAGTTCAAGAAATCCATCAGGTAACGCACATTAAGATATTATATATCAAAATCCATTTTATTCTATGGCAGGATACTTGAATATATTCATTACAAAGAGATCAATTTGAACATAGACCTTTTTACACATCATTTGACCCTAAAATGAAATCGATGGTGGGGGATTTAATTTAGAATCGGTATTGCTTTTCTCACCATCTTGGTGCCGTAAAGAGGAAAGGAAGTAGGTGGTGCGCATGCGGAAGTCTTCGAGGAAATTTTATCAAACTTCCTGTTACCCTTATAACGTTTTTCCCTTTGACATTTTGGCTTATTACTCTTAAGTGTATTTTTAATTAAATAATCTAGATTTATCCATTGTTAGTCGTTACTAATTATTTAAATGAGAAAGAAAGCTTAAATTGGTAGGACCGCAGTAAAAGCACGCTGTATGTATCTCTATGATATTCTCTGCCAATTTTAAAGATAAATAAGTGGGATGAGTTCTTCTCCGGATAAAGCTAAGGCTTCGAAAGATACCCATGCAACTGAAGATGGTGAAAAGAGCGATAAGCAAGGCCAAAAACGACCAGCAGAGAAAGTAAAAGAGGATATAGCAAACAAAGTAAGTCAACTCAAAATGATTATGAATTTGAATACGATTTCTTCAGTGCGTTGCAGTCTTAGTGTTATGCTTTATGTTGTAAATTACATCTCTAGAAAGTGTCAACAAAATTTGAAGCGTTTATCTTTAAAGATTTTGTGGTCTTCGCTTTGACCAAGTAAGCACATGTACTCTTTTGAATTTCTGTACCTAGTATTACACCACACTACTACTGTACAGACAGTTGCAGTGTGTTGAATTGCTTGTGCAGTAGTAGTACTACTAGTAGTACTAATTTAAGTTAATGTAATGACTTATTGAAAGCTTTATTAATGTTTCTTACTACAGGTTTCTTCTCCAAATGATTGGGAACATGCAGATCTAGGAGATGCTGGCAGGAAAAATAAATTCCTAAGGTTAATGGGGGCAGCTAAGGTATAGATCAAAGTCTTCTTAAAAAGAGAAAACATATAAAAATTAACAACATTAAAAACAGAATGCAGCAAAGTAAAAACAATGGATGCCTCTAAGTATATTCTTGCAATTACTTCACTATCAGTGTCACTGTGCAGCTTTTTGCTTCTTGATAGAGACAGCAAATGACATGCAGAGACATACAGGCTACTTGTACAATTTATTTTTACAGATGCATATGTTTTTTCTTTTCTACAGAAAGAGCATCATGGTAAAATTGTTATTGGAGACCAGCCAGAACACAAACAAACAGGTAGTGTGCAGGATTAACTTTGAATTAGCTTGAATAAGGTTAAATTCTTTTTATTGACCAAATAGTTTCAGAGGCTGTTCAGCACAGCGTTACAGTTCTTTGTTACCCCCACCTCTTCTTCTTAAAACAGGTTAAGCTAAACAGTGCTCTGTATGCCCTCAGCTATTCTTATTTTGCTCATGTATTGAATAATTTGCTGAGCACAATTGTGCTAAACTCGTGAAACAGGCATTTTTTTCAATGAAGCATTGAAGTATATCTGTTTTCCTGTAAACACATTACTTTAAAAAATTTTTCATGGATGGCTGATCATTCTGAAATTCATATTAAATTATAGTTTTTAATTAATATTCAATCTTTCAATACTAGGGAATGTAGACAAAATTAACTATGAGTTGGAGCAGCAGTTTCAGCATGGCATGGAGCACAAATTAAAGGGAGGAACAAGGAGGCATTTAGGACTGGGATTTCAAAGTGAAGAGGATGAAACAAATAAGGAAAAAACTGAAAACAATGACACTGAATCCTCTCAGGACCCCCCTGAAAAGCTTAAAGAAGACTCAGAAAGAAGAAAAACAAAAGATGCTTCACCAGAAAAAGATGATTCTTGCAAGGTTGCAGGTTTTGTAAAAGGAAGTTCTTGAAGCTTTCACATCTCATTGTGATTAGAAGGAACAGTGGCAAAGAGCTCCATTCCTATGCATCTTGCTCCATGTACTATCGAGATTGGATGTAATTACGATCAGCATCAGGTTATTATCTTCTTGTACTCTCTTAGGTCTTCAAATAGTCATGAAGGGGACTAATGAGCTTGGCATATGAATATGGAGACCTACAATTATAACTAGGCCTTAGCCAAGAGGGAAGAGTTTTACATAACTGTATATTTCATCCAAGCTTGAGTTAGAAAATTAGTATGAGTCCATGTTGGATTTTCCTGGAATGTGCTGCATTGATAAGTAGTTGATGTTGAACATTTTATTGACTACAGTTGTACCGTGAACAGTAATTTTAGCAATGTACAGAAAACATTTTGCTTCATTTTAATTTCAAACTGTTGATTTTTTTACCTGCAAGATTCAAGGCATCAAGCTGACGTCAGATTCTGCTATTTTGTAACAATTGCTTTAGTAATTTACAATATGAAAAACGAAATCTTAATGGTTATCTATTATTTCTGTTGATTAGATTGGAATATCAGAAATACTTCTTTTAGCCTATAAACATCAAGGTGTATGTACTACGTGTAAGTTTGTATATAAGGTACTCATTTACCCCTTTCTTTAAGACCTTAATAAATAAAATTGAAACATTCTCTGAACTTGCTTATTAATTTTGTTTATTTACCTTTTTTGGCATCATGCACAAGTAAATTTTGAACAGGATGCATGTTGAATGTGAAGTTATAATTATGGTGAAATGCAGATGTTATACAAGGTGTGATATCAAATGAACCTAAAATACTGACTTTGTACACACATCTTCTCTGCCCCAGGAAGCGAGCAGCCAGCCAAACTAAGAAAGAACTACAGTCTGTACTTATTGGACAAATGCTCTTTTCAACTGTCAGATAAAATGTCCTCTAACAACTAGGTACAAATCTTTCTAGTGGACACAAGTGCAAACATTAACTAGTCTACTCACATCACATGCACTAAGTGAGCTTAAAAACCATTTCATTCTGAGAGTGAAAACTCTGGATAGAGGATGATGAATGAATTTGTTTTGAAAGCCCACAAAATTTGAACCAACAAGATAACTATGTAAGTTGTAAATGTTTACCCATATGTTAGAGAGCCACCATCTATTATATCACAGTAAGCAGGCTGCCCTCCTTAAAAATAGAGATCTACATCACAACCGATCAACAATGGTGTATTCTGCTTGCTCACTTCTTGTATTTTGGCATGCATTATCTGTTTGCTCCATTTGTTCCAAAAGTCACTGATATAACCCTATTCAAAATGCAGTTTCATGAATACTAGATAACAGTCCAAAGTTATATTTTTCAATTTTTACAGACAAGGGAAAGTTGTACAGTTGTAAAGCAATATGTATAAAATGTTACATAAGTGAAAGAAGCTAGCTTGAACATTTCACTTTGTTCAAAAAACATTAAGAATATCATAATATTTTGTTATAAATTTCAGCAACACTGAAGCATTGAGGCTGCATTATTTTTTTTTAGCTGACAGGGGACATGACCTGTTCAAGTCCCTTTACTTTAATCATGGTTTCTGCTCTCCTACAATGATACAGAATGGTTTTCTCTAAATGACTTTCAGATACTAAGTAAAAGAGCAGTGCAATAGGGATAACACAATTATATATTGACTAGTGCAACAAAAGTTTCCAATGGACGGAAAGTTTAATGGACGAAGATTTTCACAGTTTAAAACCTGTGAATCTGTATTCATTTCCTATACAAATACATCTCTCTACCTAGAAGTCAAAATATATATCTGGGATAACTATCTGCTTAAGACAGAACTTGCCATAAGTGTAAGATAGATGAGAATCATTTAAGCACTAGATTTTATACTTTCACACTTTGGTCTTCTTTGGTCAAAATGCCATTAATATACGGTCTCTTTTTAATGAAAGCAAAAACAAGAAAAGTAATGATGTTGTTTGATCAAACCAATTTCACTTACATGAACCATAAATGTGCAGCTTTGTACAAGTTCATTAAGTGATCTTTTGTCATGTTCTTTTACATTCTGCCATTCAACAAAGACTGATATGCAGGGTATCTTCTGTAGATATTTTCACTAAATTAATGAATGATATCAACTTTTAACAACAACTCCCTTGTGAGGTCACTAAAATAACAAAAGCAATAATCTTTGTCATGGAAGCCAACATAATATCACAAAAATAATAATTACACAAGATATGTTTCACTACTAGGTCTACTCATGGAATGTCTCTTGCTGTTAAAATTTCATTTCATGAAATTTTTCTCATACTCCATGGATTGAGCAAAATAATGATGGCGTGAGTCACAACAGCACTTTTATTGTATATATATATATATATACTAGACTTTCATGCAGCATTTTAGCTGCAATGCATCTCCTTGCCTGTACACATATTTTGTAGACATTTGACATAAGTCTCAGATATCTCTCCAAGCTTGTGTAACCTTCACAATTACCTGCATCAAAGTCATTACTTAACCTGAAAGTTAATATTCAAACTTCACAGATATCTTTTGACCAATCTTTTACTGTGCAGGTATCTTGAATATAACCCAGTCAATTCCCAAGCTTGTTAATGGTATTCAAACAGAACTTCTTGTTCTCCTCTAACCTTAAAATCAATGCAAATATGTGCAAAATAGACTTAAAGGCACAACACCAAGCCTAAACCCAGTAAAGATATCTTCGAACCAGTCTGCAGTATATATATATATATATATATATATATATATATATATATATATATATATATATATAGCAGACCACTTGTATTCAGCATCCACAGACAAGGCAGACTATCATATGTCATATTTAGTTAAGAACTCAAATTTGAAGCAACGCCACAATTTGAATGAACTCTTCATCTGTAGTACCCTTGTGCTAAATGTTTACCCCATGTTACAGTCATGCCAACTGCTATTTCTTCTTTGTCGGTTGTGCTGAAGGCTGTGATTTGGGTTTAGTCAATGGTGTTGCAGTTGTCCTGGCAGAGTGGGTTTGTTGGGTCCGAGGTGAAGGCGTGGTCAGTTTTGACCCAGTGATTGGAGACCTGCTTTTACCAGCAGGAACATTGTTATTGATTGTCTTTTGTGTTTGTCTTGCAGGACTGCTGCTACTACCTCCGCTTGAACTCTGGAGAGCCATTATAATAACAAAAAGTAAATAACAATAGGATAGCTGAAATTTCTCTTTACCACAAAAATAATAATAATAATAATACTGATGAGAGAAATAAATATATGCTATTCAAATGTTTTTCTGTTATAAAGAATTACAGACATAATGCTACACACCTGTGATTTACTTTTTAAAGCTGTTTTCTTAGTTCCTCCACTCCCATTGGGGCTCTGAAATAACAACAAACTCAATGTTACTACATTATATCAAAAGCCATCCATATATAGCATAATAATGGCATTTAATATTTCAAACTGTCCATTAAGAAGTAAAATTGTTTTAAATGATTGTACATTCATGTATTTATATTTATATTCAATGATTTCCATGTCAGAAGTCTATATTTATGTGATAATTTTCTCCTATTATAAGAAAAGTTATTAGAAATTATAAGAAATGTTTTTTTTTTTTTTTTTGATAGTTTTATAATTTGCTTTATCAACTTTCTCCCAGTTATTCTATTATCTTAGATATTAAAATGTGTCTTTTTACCCGTTTAGTATATTCCCCTACACTACTGCCACTAGAGACCCGTTCTTCAGTCTCTGAGGTAGAAGCAGTTTTCTGGTCTCCATTTATTGCACTATCATCCTCCCCTTGTTCCTCGGATTCCAGTTTTAACTCATCTTTCCACTGCTTCATCATTTCTAATACATTGGCAGGTTGGCAAGTGCGCTCCTCACCCTAAAAATTAAAACAGTTGTTCATAATTTGATCTGGGATATTAGCCAATAATATGAGACAATTGGAATTGCCTCAGACTAGTTTTAAGACAGGAGTTGAGATATTATAAACCTAACCTGATGAGCTGAAATTTTAGTGGTTGTTTTAAATTATTTTTTCATTATCTATAGATTGGTAGACAGATGCTTTCTTAATCATAACTGTGGTACCATTCTGACATTCTGTCATGAAATGCAACAACAATACTCTTGCAGTGACCATGTGATTAAATGTTGTGGGTGACAGTGTAAAACTAGAAGTGGCACTGTGCTAGATGTGACAGTATGATACATGTACAAGCCACAGTGGGTTGACTCAGGACAGTGGTGTTTTGGTTGTATTAAATGTGACAGTGTAACAATGAGGTAGACACAACAAGGGCCACTACTGTTATCCAAGGATGTGCCAGCACTTCACTAGCTGTAGTTCTATGGGCAGGATCCACCTTCAGCATGCCACTGATCACATGTTTGGCTAGAAATAATCAAAATAATAAATTTATGCGCTTTGGACTTTATTAGGGAATTCTAGGACAGATTACTTAACATTCTATTTTGTATACTATTTAAATACAAAAAACATCATGTTTTTGTTTGTTTGTTTTTTATTCTAATTCTCACTCTTTATCTCATTTGCAAACTCACCATCCTCACTGATTTCTTCCCACACTGGCTCAGAAAAATCAATTTCTCCTTTTTTAATCATTTCATACAACTTCTCCTCCTCTCGTGCTCGAAATGGTGGATTACCACATAATCTGTAGATGGAAAGAAGATGTGAGTTAATCAAATATATTTTAATACATTTGTATTTTAACACCATGATTTTAATAATATCCAAGCGGTTTAGAAACATTTTAAAATGGTTCAACTAAGGAAAAAAGAGAAAATGTATAAGTAATGTTTCATTTATTCTTTTTTATCTACTAGTATTCATTCATTCATTGTTGTTCAAAAACCTGTATAAAATATGATAGCCATGAAAATTATTGTGCCCCAAAATTATGAGGACAGATAAAAGTAAAGCAGAGCTGTATTAGGCTGTATTTCACCAAAGGTGAGCCCTCCTGCTGTGTATTATATGATATCTGTCTTACTGAGGAGGTGGGTGTCCATCAATTTTGACCAATTCCAAGAAGGCAGTAAATCCCTCCCATGCACCATTATTTATGTGGTAGATATTTTGAGCATCAAATTTTCTTACTTATCAAATTCTGAATACTTACAGTGTATACATGATTATTCCCATTGCCCACACATCACACTGTTGACTGTAGGTTTTGTTGTCTATGATCTCTGGGGCTGAATGAAAAAAATTAAATTCAACTTTATCAAATGATTTGTTCAAAACTCCTCCTCATTAAAAAATTTACATTATCTTCAAGAAACAAAATATGTTCAAGTAACCTTGAATTTATGCCATTAATGTGAATGTTTTTAAAAACAGTCCAAATTTGTGCCTATTCATTTAATTTCTGGAACTTACATTTTGAACAATATTAAAAGGCATCAGTGGTCTCAAGGAATAAATTTATAATGTCCTAGGAAATTTCTGAATGAGTGGGCCGTTTTTGTCATTTATTATTGAAAGATATGTATGAAGCAAGCATGGATTTTCAGTAATGCATATAGACCACTTCTATTACATGTAGTTTCTTATACATTAAAAAAAAGTTGACATGCCAAATCATAAACCAAATTAATCTCTCCTTCAGCAAATGACCTTAAAATTGCACCTTCTTCAAATTTTTGGTGGTAAATTGGCCTGTTTATCTGTCCTGGCAATTAATATAGGTCCACTAAATGACAGTACTGTCCATGCAATTGCATTATTCAAGGGATATCTAAAGCACTAAAAAAACAAAAAGTGTCCATTTAAATATAATTTTTGGGAAATATGAAACAATATCCTTTGAAACTTCATCTTTAAAACTTACACATATAAATTGGAGTTCCACAAAAATCTTGCATCATATTTTCATGGCCTACTCCTCCTTTACATACTGAAAGACCAAAATCTGTCACCTGTAATAAAAATGAAGTGTTGTTAAAGGCATAATAACTCTTTGTATGAGACCTATATTTCACAATAAAAACCTTGTGAATAACTCATAGAAATATAATATATTCTGTTTTACCACAAAAACAGCAGTTATAGCTTTTATTCTGATATTTGAACTTGTCTTTAGACCACGTGACCCCCATTGATGTCTATACTCTGTTAAAATCTCTTAAGAGATTTTAACAAAAAACCAAACTTTTTAGAAAAAAACCAGGGACTAACTTTGAATGTAAAAATGGATTCATTAACCATTGGTAAGTATGGGAAAATTGTTGTTTACTCCAGGAAAATTAATTTTTTGGCCGAAACGAAGAGTTATTATTGCTTTAAACAACTATGTTTTACATTAATTTTCTGTATATTTTTGTCATCCAATATTGTGGATACAGAGCTTCAATTTTGAGGCAAAACGTTAATAAGCATCTAGTATTCTGACTCATTTCCTTGAAATATCATTTAACCAAAGAAAAAATATAACTACTGAATATAATATTCTGCATATGTAACAACACATGTACCTTTATATGCAGTTTATCTTCTGGATTTTCTGGATTGTGACTTAGAAGGATATTTTCCAACTTCAAATCCCTATGTACAATGTCTGTAAAGAAATTATTATTTATATGTTATATGGAATTAGCACAAAAATAAAAATGATAATTATAATAATATGATTTTCCTAGGATATAGTGATATAATTCCATTCAATTCATTTTTGTCCTGTACATAGATCAACATGACAGCGTACAAAATAACATAATAATAATAATAATAATAATACAGTATGTGAATGGGCAAATATACCTTTATACAAGAATAAGAATATCAATGTACAATAATGGAAGTCAATTTTGAGATAAAATATCACTTTAGCTCTAAAATATTTACAGACACTAACCATTTTTATGTAAGTATTGAATTGCACTTGCTAAATTTCTCATGATTGTTTTGGTCTCAGCTTCAGTAAACTTCCCTTTCTCCTTCAACACATCTGCCAACTCTCCCTGGTCACATAGTTCCAAAACTAAGTACATTCTCTGAAAAGTACACCAGATTTAAATCGTGTTTATACTGTTGTTATAAAATGTATTTATGTAAAAGTACGATAACAGAAAAAAAATAACTTATAATTGAAATTAAAATTTCAAAAAGTGTGCGAGGACCGGGAGTCGAACCCGGATCGACTGCTTGGAAGGCAACCATGCTAACCGTTACACCATCCACGCTTGACGGACATTTGCACAAATTTTGCCAGTCCCTATATTACATTATTGATCAATTTCGTTTTTCCCACGTATTTTCTATTACAATTATTTACAGTAGTGACAATAATTGCATTTACTATTATATACCATGCTTTACTGTTTAATTTATGCAAATGATAACATGTAATACAGACCACGCGTACATGCCTAAATAACCTTGACCTTGTTCTAAATAAATAGCAGCGAGACTACCAAAGAAATCAATAAGTCGGGGTATTTGTAACTACAGTGAGTAAAACACCACCAAAATGCTTATAAAACGCGTAAAACATCAAATTTTTAATAGATGAGTATGTTCTTTTTATCACAAAGAATTTCTTTGGTACAAAATGTACCAATCCCAACTTTACGCTCGATCTCTCTCACAAGTCAGGATGGCCGAGCGGTCTAAGGCGCTGCGTTCAGGTCGCAGTCCACTTCTGTGGGCGTGGGTTCGAATCCCACTCCTGACAACTTAGTTTTTCTTTTTCGTTTATTTTTTTCTATTTAATTTTCTTACCTTATGTCCCTACATTTTTAACGCATGTTTTGACTTCTCTTTCTGAGGAGATTAGATTAGATTAGATTAGATTAGATTAGCGTTGATTTCCGATTCAGGTTCCTACTGGATCCTCTTTATCGGACTCTTCCTCCAAAACTAACTTGTGACTTCCGATGATGTTGATTTCGGATCTATAATTGTCATATTTGAGTTCCTGGTCATCCCACCACTTGTCTTATCTGTTCTTAAAAGAGTTGAGGCTTTTTGCCCTGACAACTTGATCGGGTAGGCTATTCCATATTTGTGTTGTACGCACAGTGAAGCTGTATTTTCTCAAGTCTAATTTGGCTCTTTGAGGGAATAGCTTGAAACAATTTCTTCTATTACCAGACTTATGTGAATGACTGGACCATAATTTAATATAATCTCTAGTTGATTTATCATATATCCCAGTGACTAGTTTATACATCTCATAGAGATGAAATATAAAATTTGGTTTAGACCTTCACACTGTTAGACTATATCAAATCACTACTTTTCTTAAAACAGCATTTGGCACCATATACATTGAACAAAAATAAAAAGCCCCACACATAAATTTTATCAGCATTATGAACAGCAAAACCTTTTCTGAACTTAGCCCAGGGAGGCATACAATTTGTTAAAATACATAACTAAACACTTTTTCATTTAGTTCAGAAAAGAAATATGTTTTTTATATTTGGCATCAATGAAACAAATTACTAGTATATTAGATTTTTGCTATTTTTTCAGTATAAAAATATAAGACTGAAAAATGGATTTATTTTCCTATTCATTAATGAAACAAAGTACATGCAGCACTGACAAACTGAAAGAGCACCTTGAGTTAAAAGCTAACAAGTGGTTCAACCCCTCGGACTTTCTCTGTGCATAATAACTTGTCTAATCCTCAGTACAGTGACTACTTCATATCTGAATGTCCTGGTCTCTATCACAGGTGTGTACATGTAGCAGAACCTTTCATAACTCTGTTGATTTATTCATAGCTGTTCTTGTGCAGCAGTGTTGATGCAAATGGTCCAGCTCTGCTGTGTTTCACTGTGATTTCTCAACCAGCTAATTCTCGCTTTCATGTCCCCATTGTTCTGTTTCAATCCACTGCATTAAAGCAGAGCATTATTTGTGATAATGGCTACTTACAACAAAATCAACACACTGACGGGTCCAGTGTGTATACTCTTGCCCTATTCAGAGTGTTTTTTGCCCCATTCAAACTTCTGGCCTGCTAAACAGTCGCCCTGGGTATATATCTAATAGTAATTGTAATGTGAACTACAGCCTACCCTGAGGGGAGGTACATGATACCGGTTATATGGGCTTTGTACCAACAGCAAAGTCTGCTGTTTGTGAAAAATTTTGGAGTGTTTGTGGTCAGTACTTCAGAAGGGGGTGGTGGTCATTTGATAGACACGCACACTGGTCAAAGTATGTTAGTATTAAGACAAACTTTCACTACTTTGAGCAAGTGTATGAGAAGGGAATTTTAAAAACTTAACATTAATGAAAGTTTATATGATTTTGCCATCATATACAGTACTAAAGGACTGAGTAACAGGGGGAGGGCATTTTTTTTTCTTTCAACAACTGTCATTTTAAGCACTAATCAAATGAGAAAATTAAATATATAAGAAAAATTTACCACAATACATACCTTCCAAGTGATGGTTGACACCACACATGAAAAGTTTTAATAATCTTGTTTCAACATAACAACTGTGTAAATAGCAGTAATGCACTTACTTTTGCAGTTTCCAGAACTTCTTCCAAATGAATAATGTGTTCATGTTGCACCTTTTTCAGTATGGCTACTTCTCTTTCTAGAAGTTGTATTGCAGAGCTGCCAGCCTGATAAAAATAATGTTTTATAAAAGAAAAAAAGTCTAAAATTATTTTTTTGTTGTTTTAAGCATATATTTCAAAAACTTCAAATGTATTACAAGCCCACAGGCCTGCTGAAATCTAGATACCTAGTACTGCAGACCCAACTTTATCTTTAAAAATAATAGTAATATTTTGTCAGTGCATAATAATTCTAAACAATTTCTCAATTCACATTCATACTTTATCCCCAATTGTATGTATTTCTTCTGTAATAAGTGGTACTAAATCTTATGGAAGTGTATTCATTTACAATGAAAACATATTTTTCAAAAACAAGGGAGCTTATCCTTTAATTTACCTTTTCTTTATTTACAGCTTTGATTGCCCAGGTGACCCCAGTTGCTCTGTTCTTTGCCTCTTTGACGACCCCAAAGCTGCCTTGGCCAAGTTTTTTTGACAGTTCATACGTTTTCTCTATAACGGAGTCATCCTCCAGTCTGGTGTGGGGAACCTGACGTCCAGCGCTGCCCTGTCGCTGCTTGCTACTCATGCTGCTTCACACACAAACTGCAAGTAATAAAACACAGCCATGAAAGAGGGGGGTTGGTATGATACTATGTTCTGTATCAGTATTTCAGGCTGTTATCTTATTGTGTTACTTGTGTCACATGTAAATGTTCTGGATGATATTAGTGAAGTTTATGTGAAAACTTGTTTGTTATAGATGACATTTAGTTTGGGATCCAACCACAAAAGCTGTCACTAATTAAGCTTTTTTTTTCAAGAAATTTTTATCCATTTGTTGATCCTTTTTCCTTCTTTCTTTTTTTTTTTAACATATCATTCTTAGACCTACTACTCATATTTATTTCTTATCATTTTTCTTAAAATACGTATTCTTCTTTTTCTTACTTTTACTTTTGAGACAATGAAATCAATACACATATAAACTTATATACTCAGTTGACTGAATAAAGATTATAATAATTTTATCAATATTATCATTAATATCCTTATCAATCATTTCCTACTACTATAACTGCTTCAAATAATCAATCATCTTTAAATCTCTCACTATGATGGACAGTTGACAGTGATTAAATTTCCTGAATGAGAGTTTTACAGAATCGGAAATAATATTCATTGTTAAATGTCAGGCAGTTTGACTCCCACTTTGCCAAAGTTTTTTTAAAAAACAATCAAGTTTGAATAAAAAATTTCAAGGAGCTTATAACTGAATAAATTCAGTAAATGATGTACACAGATTCCAAGTAAACTAAGTAATCCAACCACATTTGTACCTGTAGGCAGAGATCTTAGCATGCGGACTGTCCTCCCTGCTGGCTGGAATGTTAAGCAGGGGGCAGTGGCGTGTAGCACCAGTAGAACTGACATTACTATGATGTTATGTGCACAAGCATGCAGAACACACACACTAAATACTTCAGCAAAAAGTAAAGTCAATTAATTACATGTTTTATATTGGCTGACACAGCCTCAGATAACAACAGAAGTCAGCCTTTTGATTAGTCAAAAGATTTTCTAATAGCCCAGGGGTGGATAGATCCACCATATAAACTACTCGACTCCCTGATGTATAACTAAGTCTTGGCTAATATTGACAAGGGATGAGAAGGTTCGTTATAAAAGGTGTGTGTTGTCAATGAATTGTACAACTTTACAAACATTATTTCAAGTCCATTGATTGTAGTACGGATGCACTGGGTCTATATCTTTGACTTCTTGGTGTTTGTACATCAATGAATTTGACAAACTCTTTCCAAAATGGTTTAATTATCTACACTGTGCCAATACATTATGGACTATGTAATACCTTGATTTTATTTTCTCTCTCTCTCTCTCTCTCTCTCTCTCCACTACATTACTCGTCAATCTTGCACCCCTATGTCAGCCATTTAACTGTTATAATCAAAGCTCAAAGCCACAGTATTGATATTAACTGATGTTAACTCCAGACCTTTTTTTTTCACCAGTCTCTCCCACTTTGGTATATTTACACAGGGAAAACATTTACCACCTCACCTGACCACACTCTTTGATAAGAACACTTCAGTCTCACCACAGTTCCAAATGCCTATCTCCACAGCTCTTACAAAAACAGGTATTGACAGACACCTTAATACAACAACTCAATTATTGTTCAGGATTTTTATAAAACTATTTATAAGATAAGAGATGGCATCCAGTGAAGCTGGTGAGTGAATCACAATACTTACTTTGATATAGCATAACATGTGTTAGACAGATTTACGTTTACAGTTAGATTCTCTTGTTTATTTTGCTCAGTCAGTAAGATTAGCTGGGGTTTTTTTTCACAGCAAACTAATTCATTTTTCTTCATCAGAATATTTCACATTCGCAAAATGCTATTTTGTTAAACAAATGACTTAAAGTGTACAAATATCTAAGTGTATTTCCCACATTATACTTTTTTTTTTCATTTTAATTTTAATCTAAATTGAATTTAATGCTATCTGCACACATAAATAGTAAATATCAAGGTTAGTTGTCACAAAACAAAGCTTAGTAAGCTAAATTACCCCCAGACAGCAATAAACAAAATTTTACCCCAAGTGTTTTGTACTAAAGAAAATGTAGGTGGGGGCTTTCTTAGAAAAGAAGTCTTTATATTTATGGATTTACTCAACTGATGCAAAAGTAATAAATGTAGTTTAAACATAGTTTGATGTGAAACTGAGTTGACATTTCATAATTGGGTTGTTTTACATGTATTCAGCGTTTTATGTGTATGTTAGTGAAATGGAGGCACTGGTATCTAAAAAATTTGGTCCCATTTTTGCTAAATGTGATAAATAATTAACATGGGCTATATAAAATTACTTTGTATCATTTTTGTCAGTTGATTAACCATTGGCAAAATGCTGAAAAGTATTTAGTATCTGACTAAAAACTAGGTAAAAATTCAGATGCTATTCTCCTAAATCAAATTTTTGTCAGCTGTTGTTTTAAAAAAATTGACATTTTTTTAAACATTAATTTATTTTGCCATATATATATTGTATTATATATAATTTGTTTGTGTGTGTTTGTGTGTGTACACATGTGTTTATGTAAGTGTGTTAACTGCCATTGGTGAAAGGTACGATGAGCTGACCGTTACAGAAAGCTATGTTGATTTTTTAATTATCTCCGCAAATGCAAATATGTCAAGTTCTCCAACTTTTATGGACAGCCCTCCAGGTGGAGTGGTCAGCAATGACATTTTACTATTTGTGCTGACACATGGACACACTTAAAGCTTATCACCACTGATATTGATATATGTTCAAGAAGATCAAATATTGACCCAGTCCTCAGCTCACACACTACCAGCTGAAGCAAATCAGATGGATATTCTACAGCAAACAAGACTCCATTGGAAGTCTTATAATCAATGCACTAGGTATGAACTGATTCCCATTCCATTTGACTTGTCCAGTTCATTTCTTATGCTGGGATTGCTTTCTGCTATTCACGTAATGGCTGACAATGTCACCACAAAGGTTGCCGGAGTGAGCGCTGTAAGTGCCAGTGTTCTCTGCGCGCACATATACTACCATGCCTGTAACACATCAAAGCAGGTAAATTCAAGCACCATGTTTGCTTTAATACAAGCAAAGAAAAGTCCACTTTCAAGACTCAAATCTACCATGAAATTGCACATGCCTCTAAACAGTGCAGCTCTTTTACCAGTTTGTTTACTCTCTATTGTGGTTTTGTTGACCATTTAGAATTCACTTCAAATTCATGTTTTTCAAAGAGATGCAAGTAAAAAGGTCTCAATAGACAAAAGGGACTCAATGTACACGGGGTGAGCTTGTACAAGACACAAACATAGACACTGCATTACATCAGCTATTAACATCAACCAGGAGAGATTTTTTAAATAAAGAAGATAGTGATGTTTGCTGATCACTTCACTCCTTGGGCACAACACAGCACAGTGGAGTCAACTCTCCAAACACAATCTCCCAATTCTCTCTCTTTCTCTGGAACCTGACTTCCCTGACCTTTTACTCTGGGTGGAAAAGCCTGCAGGGCTGTAGTCAGAGCTGGTCAAGTTGTATATCTCACATTACTTCACTCAACTGCAAACTGAGCTTACTGTAAAGCTTCAGTCAACCTTGGAATAATGACATATCCAATCATGGGCATAACATGTCAATCTAGCAACAAGAGCAAATGACGAAATACATTAAGTCAGTGAGTTTAGATCGAGAGTCAACCACTCCCTTATAAATAACTAACTGAAGGGTGGGGGAATAGACAAGTCACTGGAACCAGAAGTTTACAATTTGACATGTCCCTCATAAAACACAGCATTCAAAAAACCTAATCCGTTACCTCCCGCACAATTTTCTCCACTGTTTACTTATGCATAAAACTATCCAGTTACAACAAGCTACAGAGTCTGACTTTACAATTCAACTTCATAAATAAATAAAAACCCATCATAATGAGAATTCTAATCTTTATTTACATTCGAAAAGAGTTTTGAATATGAAAAAGACTCCACCAACCCCAGCAGTCTTTTCTACATGCAATGTTAATCAATAATGTTTTGGAGTGCTTAGAGCAAGGCTAAGTGGCTCAACAAATACACTGGTGGAGTCAGATCAAATGGGATTTTGTCTGACAAAAATCAAATACAGTGATTGGATCATGTTCTGTCTACTAAACTGAAACCCACCTGAAGAAATAAGACACAAATAAAACTCATGAAGGGGAAATTTGAACATGAGTAAACTCACTTGCGGGTCTTTTAAGTGTTTTGGTTCTCTTAACTGGTCTCTAATCTCTTAATTTGTATTTGTCATCTGGGTGGTTTCAGATCAATGTCAACTATGAAGAATACTGATATTTGGGACTAAAGATTTGCCAAAGGTCACGAGTACTTACACAATTTAAGTCTACTACAAAACTGTACCTTTTCAAATATCTTAGGCAGTAATTTAAGTAAATATAAATGAACGTTTCTTTGGAAATAATAAAATACCCAAAGAGCCTAATTTCATTTCAATGGACTTCATTTTTTCTCGAAGCTATGATATTTTTGAAGAAAGTGACAATAGTTTTCTCCACCACCAAGAAGTTATTATAACAAAAACCATCACAAAAGCAGAAAAAAAAATTGTTAATTACCCCCCTCAATAAAACTTTTAACATATGAGATAATACTTTATTTTATCAGGTATATATGTTTTTATATACATATATATTCAGTCAATGAGCCTATCAGAGATAATATTATAAGTTCCTCCATAATCCCAATATATATATATATAGATAAGTTATATTTTGATGTTGACTTATCTGTGCACTGTTCATATAAAAAAATCATACTTCTACTTCTTCCATTAAAAAAAAAGGCTTTAGCTATCTTGAGAGTTTTCAGCCTTATCAGTCTTGTCCAAAATCTGTCACTCTGATATTATTATTAATTTATTCATACTATCTTAAAACAAGTGCAAAGCAAGCATTTTCTAAAAAGAAAGTAATTTTCTAAAAAAACAAAAAAAAAAGTTTGGACCTTTTAACCTCCTTAG